CTGAAATGTCTGTTTTCGTAAGGCTAAATGAGGTTGGTGGAATGAAAGGGAATTGGGACGCTTTACACGTGTAGTTATTGCAGGAGGCATTAAAATTCTTATTCAACCTTTTTCCCTGTGCATTCTCAGTCTCCCCCAAATCCTTAAAGGGTTTTGTCTGTTCATTTTGGCATGAGTATAGCCTACAAGTAAAATGTATAATGTAGGTTCTTACTTGTAGTTCATATACATTATGTACACTTGAATTGCCTACATGTAAATGTACAGCTTTGCCTCTATCGTTTGGTTTTATCCTGTATATATATGTTTTAATAAATAAAAAATAAAAAAATACATGTACACTGTACAGTGTACATGTACATGTACTTCTGGTCTGTGCATGTCTCCCCTTTCCTCTCCTATGAGAAAATGTTGGCATTTGGGCTTTTACAGTCATCTACATGTACAATGTAGGTCATTTTAAATTTGGGTGAAAAACAGCGTTTTGGATTGATAGTTTGATGGTTTATTTTACCTGACTGCTAAGAAAGCATACATGTGTGTGTGCTTGCAAGTTAGCAACCAGAGGACTTTACAGTACGTCTTTAAATCCGCTCTAAGGGACTTGGTGATAAATAAATGCCTCACCAAAGTGAATTAGCGAATCCACTTGATTTTGAACCCTGGTCCTCCCAGTTATGAGACTACTTCTTTCGACTACCACTGAGCCATCTTGCCTCACCTCGAATATTATCATGAGCAGATGTTTAATATGTTCACTGCACATGTATTTCAAGTACATGTACAGGCCACAATGTGATAAATCTACTTCTAAACCAACACAAACCTACATGTAAAGTGTACACCGAATTGCAGTGAAACACACAGAATCCCCAGAGTACATGTATCATTCCAATCCTGCAATTTACGCCTAAAAATCTGATTTATTAATTCAGATTCATCCATTCATGGTATTCCATTCCACCGCACCCGTGACCTGGGCACCCGTCTGCATGATTGTCCCCCTACAGGCTGGCTAGTCGTCGCTTGTCCATCTATCATCCATGTGAACTTGGCGCATGCCCTGGGGCTACGCCATCTGATTGATGAAGGGGATGTCGGGAGAATAGCACTAGCTATGTAGAAACAGTGGAGCCCCCATTCCGTTGAAAGAACCAGGATTTACTGGTGCTAGAAATATTGTATCGAGTGAACGCTGCTCAACTGGACAGCACTTTTCAGTACATGTAATATGAGTGTGCACTTGCTGAGATAACTGCTCAACTATACTTTTTGTGCTTGACCAAAGCCTGTGTAAAGCCGATATTAAACATACACCTGTACATGTACATGTACATGTATGGAATAAGCTGATCCCCCTCCCCCAAAATGAAATGAATACTAGTGACTTTTGTATTTAATTGCATATTCTTACAATGTCTTGTGTGTAGACCCGTTTTGAAATTTGAATACATCATAAATGTTCTTCTTATATATTTTCCATAAATGTTCTTCCTGTGTGGATTATGCCTGTGACATACACCTGTACAGTAAGTACAGTATCATCTATTGAGATACAGAAGATGTGAAGTCTGTGTTTACAGTACATGTACAATTTAAAAGTTGCTAAAATTTCAATTTCTTGATCTTTTTAATACACACATTCTCAATCTCATTGTAATTCTACTTTTGTATATTGCAAATCTAGTTTATTTTCAATTATCCGTAAACAACTGTCATAATTCAGCCATCTGGCTACAAAGATAAAAAGTTACAAACTTTTAATAAATCCTGAAATTTGAAAAGAAATAATGACACCCCTTATCACTCTCAGCACACCATATATTTTGGAGCAAAGCATGAAGAAATAGATAGTCAGGTTTTCCCATTAGATGGCTCATATGGCAACTTTCCCCCCAAGAGGCCTATTATGGCTGCAAAATATTTTCTGGGGGTGATATGTTTTTGTATTTTGTCCACTCAATGGAGGACCTCACAAGATGATAAAGACTGAGTAAACCATCTGCACCGTTTCACATTATTTGAAAGATTATGAAGAAATGTTAGCAAACCTGCTGTAGTTTCTCTTTGGTTGAGAATATTGGCACATGGAACTCAAGCTTTAATAGTACATTCATAAATTATGGTCTATGGTACATGTACTGTTATTCTAGATACAAACATTCTGAGTATGTTAATTGTTAGTACTGTACACATCTGTACACTGTATGTACGGCTTACATGTATTTACATACTTGCTGTCAATTATTATTCCAAGTTTCAATAGAAAATGTGCTTAATAAATACTTTTCAACCACTTTTCTTTAGCTTGTTTTGCACTTGTAAGCTTTTAGTGATGTTACAGAAAAATACTTCTTGTTTTTAAGTACACCCCTGTATGTATCATATGTACTTATTAAGTTACTACATGTACATGTACACTGTATGGCTATTATAATGCTCTTTTTTGTTTTTGGTGTTATTGTTGTTGTTTGCTGCATACATACATGTAAATTTAATTCCTAGCAAACAAATCTGAGAACCTGTAGTCCACATACATAGGAATGACTAAAAGTACTGACTAAAAATACATTGTAGGTCTATGGGGAGGGGGGAGAGGAGAGTGGATATCCATGCATGTACTTTACATGTACAGTATTCAGGAGAGCCTATGAATTAGAGGGAGAGGGAAAAAGAGAGAGAGAGAGAGAGAGAGAGAGAGAGAGAGAAAGGAAAAAGGGGGAGGGGAGACAAGAAAGACATAAAGAAAGAGAGAAAACCTGCAGAGCACAGATAGGCACAGTGGCTGGCTGGCTGCGCTGGGACCCAAACAATACCAACAAAAGCAAGGGGTCAGTCGGGGTCGCTCGACCCTGCATAGGGTACATGTGAAAGTCAAGTTTGCCTGTTAGTCCCTCCCGGCAAACTCCGCTCTTTTAAGCCCAGTTTTCTCTCTTCCAAAACCTGAATGTGTAATACATTTTGACTCTTGAATCTTAAAGGAACTCAAGAATCCTAATAACAGTCCCCCAATGTAGGGAATGAGCTCTGCAGGAGTCAGGGCTTGGGCAAAGTAAGATTGATTCCTGTCTCGGCTTTTTAAGATCATGAGCGGAAGGACCTTCCATGTTATTTAATATAAAATATTTGATGTTTTTCTATTAAAGATGCCTGCAACTTATGAAAATTATATACATGTACATGTACACCACTATAGGGTCACTTACAACTTTTACAAGACAAATTTTCATAGAGAATTCAACATGTTTGTTTGACACTAAAAAAATGGCAACTATTTCTGAACCATTGCAGTCTTTGTAATTCCCATAAAAAGAAAATTAAAATCTAAAGAGCAATTTTAAACAACATGTTTGTACATCAAACAGCATACTAAAGGAGGCAGGGGCGAAAGGGATGCGGGCGGTATCACCCCTATTGGGTAAATTGTTTCATGTGCACTGAATAAAAAGAAAACAGACTCCGAAAACGTATCCATGATGTCTGCAGGAAACTTGAGGGGCAAAATTATACAGATGGGACTCAGTGTGCATGTAGCCTCCCTGTTCTGCTGGTTAGAAGTTTAGAACAACTCTGAACTCTCTAGATTTCCTAATTTTTTCTTTCCTTCTATTTTCTTTCAAATTCATTTGGTAGATCAACTACATGTACATTTGAATAAATTTGCGTTTTCACCATTTGATACTTACATGTATGTGTACATACCAAATTATTAATACCGGTAATAGTAATCTTGAATTTCCAATGTGCCTTGGTACACTTAACTTATCGCAATTATCGTACGGTGAGTATTAAATTGGCATAGTGAAAACACCTACATGTACATGTATTTTCATTTCCGACACAACCAACATTGTAAACTCTCATGAGAGGTCAGCAATTTTGTAATGTAAATTGCATGTCAGCTCATCATCATCAGGAACATGTGGAACAGTGGAAGGTTAAGCAAATTGCAATTAGTCACTCCACTCCAGTATCAAAATTTCACCTTTTGGGGGTTAAATTCTTGACAGATTTCCCAGAACTTTGTATGAGTAAAAAAGAAGAGTCTACGTGTACTAGCAAACTCTGAAAGGTAATTTGCAAAGTTTGTTGGGTGCAGGAATGGGTGATTATCAATAAATAACTAAGGTTTTGATTACACCACTCTTCAGTTTCACACAGGGGTATGGGTGCTTTTTAGGGCTACAACTGATGAGTTTTCCATCAGATTTCTTTCAAATGTATGAAATATTGATTTCCTTGCAGTTTTGCCCTACCGAATACCGATAGATGTTTGATCAAATTTAAGAAGCTCTTTACTACATGAATGTTTAATATGTATATTCTTCAACAAAATGAATAATGCATATGAACGAAAGTAGAGTTTACAGTCATAAAAAAAAAATTAAATTCCCAACAAGGGCAACGACTCAAACATTGTCAAAAACAATTTCAATTTCAGGGTCTAGATCCAAGTACAATAAAACTTTACAAATATATCTACAAGTCAATGTAAACTTATAATCATACCCCACTAACTGTAACACAATGATCAATACCTTTATTTAACTGCAAAAACTTTATGAAAATCAATAAATTCTGCAAAAGAAAACAAAAGGAGTCAGCTCAGCCCCCCCCCCCCTTTTTTTTCTTCCAAATGTGATCACTAAACATTTTCAATGATTTGTCAATACAGATCTGGTGAGACAAGATCCATTCCAAGGCAAAAAAAAAACACCAAAACTTGCATAAGCTGACTAAAGAAATTGGTAAATTTGGTAACATTAAATACATAGGTCGAAGGACGGTAAAAATTACTCATGCGTGTCCGTTCAAACCTCCACATTGCATTGCCAACGACGGCCAACACACTTGGCACAAGGTATCAACAGCACAACAGCAACGTACGGGGCAGGTCAGGCGTGCGACAGGACCATAATCTGCGTCAGCTACCCGCTGTGTTATCGTTACTTTCACCTTGCTTTCTTGACATTGTCACAAGAAAAATACGAGTCACTTACCTAAACTTAGCCTTTGTATTTCCAGGTCCCAACTAGAAAGCAATAACTTGGGATTCAGAATGATAAACACGCAAAATCAACCAGATCGCTATACAATCCACATCCAGATTTCACTACATTCCGTTAACGTGTTTACGATGCGATCGAAATTCGTGTGTGTACATTGTACAGGTACTAGCTAGCTAGCTACGTACGTATACACAATTTCTTATATTACGTGTCCAACGAAGCGAAGATAACATTTATGAATGGGGGCCCCTAAAAGCGAGAAGAGATGGCGCTATACTCCTACATGCTATCTACAACATAAGAATAATTTTGTCTTTTGTTTTTGTTTTGACAATTGCCTTATAAAGTGGCCCATTCAGCTTTAGACTGAGCCAGTGCCCCCCCGGCCCAACCGTCACCACCTCCTCTGCATCCTCCCCTCCTCCTCCACTGATGCCACTACTACTACCACCACCACCACCCGGCATGCACCCCTACTACCACTATCACTACCACTACCACCACCAACACCCCATCAGCATTAATAGCCCGGCCCATCCTATCCTTGTGGTATCATCACCATCACCGACAGTTCTCCTCCTCCTTTTCCTTCATTTCCTTCTTCTCCTTTTCCTCCTCTTCAGACACCACTACCAATCAACCACCATAAGCGTCGATGCAATGCCAATGCCGTGGCGGATCCAGGGGGGGGGGGGGGGGGGGGGCGGGGGGCCCGGGCCCTCCCCCCCCCCCCTTGAGAAAAAAATCATGTAAAATCACGTGATTTTTACCTTTTTGGGCCCCCCCCCCCCCCCTGGCGCTCAAGGGGGGGGGGGGGGTGCAAATTGAATTTTTTTTTTGAGGATCAAAAAACAAAAAAATGTGCTCACTACCCCCCCCCCCCCCCCCCCCCCAATACAAATATTTTTTAAAGAGATAATTATCCTAGGAAGATATTGAACATCCTAGTATCCAAATGCCCTATCAATGACCAAGCTTCAAACTCTCCATGCTCGCCGAGATATCTGTCTCAAGTTTACAAAGAAAGCACTCAAATTTGACGGATCAAACTGGTACGAACTGCACGTTTGCAACGGAAAAACACACGGCCAAGTATTTGTATAGAAACAAAGTAAAAAACAGAACATTACAGAAAAAGCCCAACCCCGTATTTCACCAGGCAACTGAACAATGCATAACAAGCCATAACTTCCTTTGGTTCCTGCCTGATTTCATAACACTTATTCAAATTATATGCCTGCTCTTGCTCTAGTGGTACTGCACTAATGTCAATATATAAATATAAGTTCAAGTAATCCCCATTTTTATGAATCAATATAGAAAAGTCTGTGTTTTAATTGGCTAACTGGTGCATTCTCTCTTAGTTACGCACGTTCCCATGTCTTATTTCCCTACAGATTTTAAGTTTTTGCGCGTACATTCTGTTATGATCTTAGTCATGTATATTTGAGAAATTCCAATGTTTTTTTTTCTGTATAGGAAACTTTGAAATTTACTCTGATATTTTCTATAAATAAATAACTTCCTTTGTTACTACACATCTAATTGCTTTTCCTTCATCGTCTTACCTTCATCTGATTCTTCTTCTCCATGTCTTCCCAGTTCCATCTGTTCCATTCTTCTCATTACCCCCCCCCCCCCTCTCTCTCTCTTTCTCTCTCTCTCCCCCTCTTCTGCATTTCTTCCTTCTTCTTTTTTCTCTAATTTCACCCCCTCTCTCTCACTCTCTCTCTCTCTCTTTCAATATCTCTTTTCCCTTATAATCTCACTCTCTCCCTCTCCCTCTCCCTGTCGCTCTTTCTCTCTCACTCTTTAGACTGTTCTATCCATGACACTTGCTCTTTCTGTCAATATTTCTTAAATATGTTTCTACGATAAATCCTCATATATTGTTTTTGACTGTGTTGAATTACATTATCGAGCAGCATTATGAAAAGGCATATACTTCACAGTATATTATAGTTTGAAATCAAACATGGATGCTTTAATGTTTTTTTTCCCCAAGTCGTAATATCGTAGTAAGAAGAACTATTCTTCTCAAAGGTGTAAACAGGTTCCATCGCACAAATCTTCAGTATTTACTTGCCATAAACTCAATTAATCATCCTCATTTTCTATTTGAAATATGAATATTTCTCACTTAACAATAATCATAAAATAATATAATAATGACGAATTTATACTATTTGTAACTGCAATCTCTTGCAGGACCTGGTATGAAATATGTAATACGTTGTAATCTATTTTAATGTGTATTATTTGTACTTGTCTGTTTCTAAGTTTTGTTGAAATGTTTTTTTAATCTGAGCTTGTAAAACTTGAAATGTAATTCAGCTCTCGGGCTACCACTTTGCAGTTGCTTTAATAAACTATTCTACTACATTAATACTACAACTACTACATAAACATTTTTTTTTAAATACCGAAAAAAAAAAAATAACATCAGATATAACAATATTCAAACAAAAAGGAAGAACCAAACAACCTTTGTCTCCACTATGAACTTTTAATTTTATATTTTATTTCAATCAAGCTTCATACAAAAATGAATGTAACATTAATTTCAAAGATTTTTCTAACAATATAAACAAGAGTGTTTTTACATATCGTGTTACAGTATCGTTAATATTAAGAACATTGTTAATAAATTCCGAAACATTTTAACTATGTGTGTGGACTATTTAGAATTATATATTTGTTTACAAGATAATTTGAAATATATGTCTTCAAATGTATATACATACACATAGGCTACATACACCTATTTTGAAGCAAAGTAGTATAAATAAAGTCACAAAATATCAAACAGAACATTGAATCATTCAATCCTAAATAAACAATACAAACAAAAAATGAGTATCAAAAAATACAAAATACAATATCTATTATTTAAATCCTCGTAATATTTACAGTATTATTCATTATCCTTGTTTCAACTAATTTTTGTTTTTGTCAATATGAAATATGAAAATGAAAATAGCTTCATAAAGTGATGCAATGAATGTACTTGGAAACCAGCTGCCAGTAAATTTCCGTAGATGTTAACTTATACTAACAAATGATTATATGCATTTTACCGTGAAAATACTTCGAATTAAGCATTTAAGATTAAAGTGATTATAATGATAACTTTAATCTACAATACTGTAAGACTATATATTAGCACACATAATATTATATCTAATGCTGTAAGATCGAGCACACCATAAAATGCTGTTAAATATATTCCTGATGGTAATAATTTACCCTGTTGTTTACAACAGTAAAATTAATATTAAGTTTCTGTCATGTAATAGACAAGACGGTTATGTACTTCTATTTTTCTTCAAATGGATGCAAAATAACATAAATAAATAAATGAAACTGCATTTGAATACAACAACTGTATTAAATTGAAATGATTCTGTATCAAAAGTAACATAACGATCAACAGAGACAAAATGTAATCATTACCTTCCCCTTAACTGTGCAAATTATGTAAAGTTTATGTTACAAGATGGGTCTTATAGAATTTCCCTATGAAATGAGAAAAAAGGTGCCACATATCGTTTATAAACGTAGCCCTACAAATGTATATACAGATTTAGTTGGGTTGTTTTACCCGACTCCTAAAAAAGCGTGTACAGACCAGTAAGCAACCAAATTAATGCATTAAGTTACCCAAAAGCGTTAGCGCATTGATTTGGTTTCGAACCTGGGTCCTTCCGGTAACGAGGCTACTGATATTAATTCGCACCCCATTTTGTAAATAAATATCACTCAAAAACATACCATAATATCTTGATCCTCTCGGAATAATATGCAAAATATATTATACTGGTCGAAAACGTCATTGTCCACTCATTAGAGAGGGAGAGGGTCAAAACTTCCCCCAATACTGATTTAAAAGTGTTGTTATGTTTATGTTTTATTTAATCACTTGTAATGTTTCTTAATACATTTTATTTCTTAAGTTCAAATTAATGTGTCTACTTGACTTCATCAATCCTTAAAAAAAAAAAGTATTATTAGAATAGAAGGAACATAGAGTTACCTTATGCATGTATCATAGTTTGCCAATAGATGGCGACATTTAACTTTATTTATTGGTGTATTCATTTTTTCAAAACTCAAGCCCGTTCCCCTTGAATTTGGCGGGCCCCCGCCCCCCCCCCCCCCCACTCCGGGGTCGGAATGACCGCATGCGTGTTACCAAAATGTCCGGTAAAGAGGTACTTTTCACGCACCAAAGTCCGGCTCGTACATACACAAAATTGACTTTACACACCGGGGGTGTTTGATACACTCTCAATATTTGTCCATAATAGGCCTCCCCTTCACATTACATGTTAATGCTATTACACATTTCTATATAGTGAGGTGAATAGTCTTTACATGTATTATAACTGCATGCATTCATGATGATTAAAACAATGTGTATAAAGTGCTCTGTCGAGTGTATAAGACGGACAATAAATATAAATAAGCCAAAACCGAAAGTAAATAGAAAAATAAAACACTTGTATGTTTAAGTTTCTTCTAGATGAAACAATTTTCCTTCAAAGATTTGCCTCTAGCATCTTTCTTTATCATGAAGGCGCCGAAGAAGGTATTCTCTGCCAATCGGGCATACTCGATTTTACTCGTCTGGCCGAGGTCGGGCCGAACTGCCAGGTAGTCTCCGGCCGCGAGATATACGACCCCTCCGGTGTAACTCGAATCTTTCTTGGTGTGGCTGAGGTCCGTTTCCGGTCGGCTGTATAATGATAAGGAGATATGAAAAATATTTCAATATATTAATGACAGTCAACGAATATACCTTTATAGTAGGCCTGGGACAAGAAATGCTGGTGGTTCTACAACATGGGATTTTTATTATAAGATGAATATTGAATTGGTAAAATACCCGTAATCGCTATTATGCTGCTCCTTCAATAGGGGATCGTCATGATCTTGTCAGGCGAATCAGAAATGTTTCTAGAAGTGTGATGCCGACCGTCAAGCCTTACACACATACAAAAGGCCTAACTAGGGGCGGTGGAACATTTTCAAAAATACCATTTCCTCCTACCTGATCCTGATGGAATTTCATAAATGATAAATGATGTGGTAGCATAATTATAGCAACAGATAAACCTGATGAACTTTTTAGTTGCGAGGGAGTGAATCGAGCAAGCACTTTGTTTATACTAATAGTCGGTATTATGATAATAATGAGGTGCATTTTTGAACGCGCATTACATTATGTTTCTAAACGCCAAAGTTGTTTAGGATTTCCCCCTTCCCCTAAAAATCAAAACTTTACTTACACGATAGCAACGACTTTCGAAAAGACAACCAACGGGCCGTTTCAATGCCATTTTGTATATCCCATAGAACCAAGATTCGGATTACGTGTTACGTCATGGTAATGTACACACAATTAAAAAAGGTGATAGTGAAAGACGATGTCTTTTGAATAGCGTTCGTTTGATATTTTGAAAGTCTTTTCTATCGTTTTAATTATACAATATATTTAGTTGTTCCATCTTTACTTGAACATTTTGACGGGCCGCACACCGCCCCCCCCCCCCTCAATGTAAAAAGAGGAATGCTTACGTTTGCTGGGTAAGGGAAGTGCCCATGAGGATGGTTGCCCCTTGGGTTGACCGACATCCCCAGGATACCATCTGATGACCAATGGTCCTGGTCAAGCTATCATTGAAGGTGATCTGGCTGTAGATGAAGTAGTAGCCGGCGACCTGCACAAAGAGAAACTGGTCTTGGACGAGCTCGAATCCGGCCGGTTCGACGAACGAATGATTTTTGTGGGCGGACCACTTGAACAGCTGACCTGGGGGTGTTAAAGGAGAAGAAGAAGAACTTGAAGGAGAGACTGAAAGATGATCTTAAAGGTTAAAAGCTGATCTGGGTTTCAAAGCGAAGGACAGGTTAAAGATGAAGAGAATGAAAGATGATTCTCTATTAAAGCCCATCTGCACGTTTGGCCAGGAGGGATTAAACCTCCCTGCATGGTCACTGGCAAGTCGGGTTATTTCATGAAATCAGCTCTCAATTAACATAAGAAAAAGGGGATCATGGTGGAACAACGGGTACCGCTTAGGAATTGTTGGCAATATAGAGGGCGCAAGTAGATACAAGTAGTACAGTCCTGCTTTAAAGGTAGAAAGCTGACCGGGGATCGACATTAAGAAGAAGAGGATGCGCAAGAGAATGAAACTTGTTCTGAAGATGAAAAGCTGATCTCGGATTCAAAACGAAGGGAAGGCGGAACATGAAGAATGAAAGATGATCCTTAGGATTAAATAAGGTAAATTTTGCAAAATCAAGATGTAAATTATTGCTTGATTTTTATCGTAAGCGTATTCCACAGATGCTAACTTTTCTTGTTCCACAATTAACTGTAATTTCTATATTTTTATAGTGAGCGGATCGAGCAATCATGCAGTAAGAAAGATCAAAAGGAAGGATATAGAGAAGGAGAGAGAAAGAGATTGGAAATGGGGAAGAGGAAAAAGGAAGAAAGAAAGGGAGAGAGAGAGAGAGAGAGAGAGAGGGGGGGGGGGGAGCGATGGGGGCAGAACAAATAAACCTATAGGCTATCTCTAGCATTATCGAAGGGAAGTCGCTGTGTGGGTCGGCGAGGGGGGGGGGGGGATATATTCATATTCATATCTCCATTATACCATCACCAAAGAGGGGGGGGGGGGGGTTGCTGAGGGTCTAAACGAACTTTTATTTATTAATTTTCTAAGATTAAGAAGAAACCACCACCACCACAATCTCCACCTAATGCTTCAACCATTTTTCTTTTTGGAAAGAAGGGCAAAATTAATATTTGAGATGCCCTTACCTGCTGTACCATTTCCTAGGCATAATAAAAAGATGAACAAACAAAACGGACAAAAAGATAATGAAAACAATGGAACAACAAAAAAAAACACCTTAAAACAAAAATGGTTTACAAGGGGTGTTTGTTTCAACTTTTTTAAAATAATTTTCATTCAATAGACGTAAAATCGTTTTGGTATAACTAGACCATTTTTAACGTCATGTAACAACTATAACGGAATATTAAAAAAAAAAGACACTCTTGTAACTATGTAAGAGCATGGACATAAAAACTCAGTTTATAAGTACGTGATAAGAGTTTTATATTCTAGTTGAGTGACGTAAATCGTGTCCATGTGTATTGGTAAGATACTTAGAATTATAAATATGAACAATATGAATACGATTATTATGACATGATTATGGCAGAGGATGAAAGCACAACAAAAGTAGGCCTACAACTCTTAAAGATAAAGACCAGTTATAGTCATGTGATTGCATTGTGAAAGAAACGTTGTGGAATCGATTAGAAAAGGTTGATCATCTAGCATATAAGTATTGGTGTGTACTGCAAGGTTCTGGAATCATCAAAATGATAAGAAATTTAGCCCAGTCTTTGTAAAGTTACAAGCACTGTACACATAAAGATGTATATGGGACTACGCGACACGTGCGTTATATCTATCAGGTCCAAATAGATATAATAATGTACCAAATATATTAATTAGTAGGTGGTTTCTCGGCAAAATTTGTATGATCACGTATTAGTCAAAACATATTCTTTCACATGATTGGTAATAAGAGCTGCCATTTCATATTTTGAGAGGGGGGCGTTTCTAAAACTGGTCTTTACCTTTAAAGATAACGCATTCATGGATTTGAGAAGACCTCTGATGGATTAACTTAGTGGTGATAATGGCTGCGTGAAATGTAGTGGTGACAAATTAAAGCCATACTGTACTAGATGCACTACCACAAAATCCCCTCTATATGATAGCGCCATCTCAGGTCAGCTGTAGCAGTATAGTCCCTAAATTCGCTGCTTCCACCCAAAGAACTCTAAAATACGTATTTTAGAGTTCTGTGCTTCCACCGAACTGAAAATACGTAGTTTCAGTTCAGGGTTTGGGTTTCACACTGATGGCAAATTGACCACGAGATGACGCTATGCAATAAACAGTACGCTGGGGCAGAAAGTTCATCAGTCAAGTATCGCTTTTAAAAATAGTGTCAATTCACAAAAAGGCGAGAGAAGTTAAAGATGCAGGGAAAGAAATATATAAAAAGAAAATTACCTTCGCGGAGAGTTGTGTTGCCTTCCGCAGGGCGGAGATGAGCGGAGAAACGATCGCTGTCGCTGTGAATCTGGTGATAAGACAAAATAATTGATTTAAAATAATTATTAAAACAAATTTTAATTATACTTTTAACACCTTCAGCCCCGTTTCTCTACGAATAATCGAATATACTCCTCACATTAGTTCATCCACTACATAAACCACAGGCCATATCCCCATTTCTTTTTTTCTTTACATCTTTACACAATATACATGTTTATTAATGTTTTCAAATTTATGCAGTTCCATCTCTATCTCCGGGTTACCAGCTGTTTCATTCAGCTGCTATTAATCATAACGTATTTATGGATGGAATCCACGTTGTAAACTCTAGTTTACAGTTATAGTTCTTGTTGTGTCGGATAAGAATCTGGAAAGCTTTTGAGTTGCCAATAGAAACTTTTGTTCAAGAAGTATGTATGCAATTAGTAAACAACTCCGGTTTGACTCCAAAGATGTCCAATTTGAGCATTTAAACAAAATTAAATACACAACAACTTTTTATCATTGAATGCGCCGTGCATAAATAAATATAAAATAAAGATATGCAATTTTCACGAGCAGACATCTACTGTTTATTATAGAGACCTTTAAAAATATGGCTCCGATCTTGCAATTTTCTTTGCCAAAATAGTCTAGTCTTCCGTTTTGTTTTTACAATTATAATATTCTTACCTGAGGATCTATTGCATTGGCGGAAGCAGCAGCACCAGAAGCATCTTCTGTAAATAATAATAATAATTTAAAAAAAAATTATAAATAAAATTGATCTTTAATTAATCGCATAACCAGAAATAAAATTGATCTTTAACGTAGAATGGGTGTATCAAATACAATATATTCGTATTAACAAGAGGAAGAAACTCTATACATAAACAAAATTAATGTAAGTTTTTTTTTTAGAATAGTTTATACAAAAGCGATTTCACAATAATCGCCTAACCAGAAATAAAGTTGATCTTTAACGTGGAATGGGTGTATCAATTACAATATATTCGTCTTCACAATATGAAGACAATATAAACCTAAACAAATATATGGGATTTTTTAGAAGAGTTTATGGTCTTCTATCAGTTATATAAAAGTGATTTCTAATTATACATCCTTGGACGCGGAAATGCCATCACGACCGTGAAGTTTGGATTTCCTGAACAATCTCTGATTTCATTCGAACGGTTTGGGAAAGACCCCTGTAAGCAGTGTTGCCTCACTTCCTTGTTGATAAATATACAATTTTTAGGCTGCTACAAAGTTTATTTTTCTTTAAAAAAATGGAGTAATCGTCGAATGACTGGTAAAAATGTGTTGTTTTGTAATAGATTCTCATGAAATTCCCAAATCACATCGACAGCAGACCGACAATCGTAAAGACTCTTGAGGAAAATCAACCTTAAGTAATTCCAAAAGATCTGCGTGTCACCTTTTAAAATATACGAACAGCGGAATGACATATATTTTGTATTGCATAGTCCGCTTAAAGGTAAAGACCAGTATTGGAAACGCTCCAATTTTAAAAAATGAAGTGGAAGCTCTCATTACCAATCATGTGAAAGAATATGTTTTGACTAATACATGATGATAAAAAATTTGCCGGGAAACTCTCATGGTCTGTGAGAGATATAGGGTAGTCCCATATACATCTTTCTGTGTATAGTGCTTGTAACTTTACGAAGATTTGGCCAAATTTCTTATCATTTTGATGATTCCAGAACCTTGCAGATGCTAGATGCTAGATGAGCAACCTTTTCTGATCGATTCCACAACGTTTCTTTCACAATGCAATCGCATGACCATAACTGGTCTTTACCTTTAAGACTTCTTTCTGAGGCTTTACAATAACATATTGTAAATGCCCTAAAGTTTGATCTCTTGAAAGTCTTTGAGATTTTGTTTTACCGAGAACGGAAACAAATTTGTCGATTTTGGAGTTGGTTTGGTGGTGCATTCGGATGATTATTTTAGGTTTCGAAGATTCCCAGACTCTATCAAAAATTCTCTGAGAGAGAAGAACACATTTTGCCAACGCTACGCCCCTGTCTGAGATTCGAAGGGAATTTTTTTAGCTTACCACTACCCTGCTGTGTCCCGCTAGCGGATCTTCGAAGCCTCCTGTTGTGGTTGAAGTAAGGTAGAACAGTACAGTTGCATGGTCTGTTAGTTCGACGGTAAGCTGTATGAATACAAACACAATTTGATGAAGATTTACAAAGATTACTACTTGAAAATAGACAAAGATTGTTTAATGACTTTGAGAACATTTGAGAACATTGAGCAAACAAAACAATAACAATTAAGAAGAAACAACAACAAAGAAACAACAATGGAAAGATAAAGAAAACATCTTAATCAATTATTGAATCAGACGATTCACCATTTAATCATCAATCATTAAGTTACCAATCAATTAATCAATGAATGTTGTCTACCTATTATTGAATTAACTTTAAAACAATCATATGCAAAGTACTAACTATTAGATAAAGAAGACTATCAATAAAAATGTCATGAAACATTTAAGTTTTACACATACATGTACATCCAGATCATTCACCAATTAAGCCAGTTCGAAATGTGAAATACACGGAGACAAAAATACTGGATGCGTGGTCATGAAAGTTATGTAATCATTATTCATTTATGCACACTCAGTGCACTCCATGGTACACAGGTGGAAATATTCTTTTAAAAGGGGGAAACAAAGGCTATATAAATTATGTAGCACCTCCATCGCTGTAGGAGTGATTGTTTCAAAATGTACAAAGTGGGACCTCTTCATGTTTTGAAGATCTGTGGATATTCGGGGGTCATTTGAGACATGTGCTAACCGTGAACTGGTCTTTAACTTTCCCACTCACTCTTTCCGTCAGTCAAGCAGACAGACACTCGTTCACGCGTTTGATATAATTAATATATTTATCTATAAATCGATAAATGATTCGACTGCTTGATCAACCTGTCAAGAAATACATACCATCATCCCGCAACACATCGAAACGCCTGGCTAGAGAGTCTACTTCTTGTTTCAGCACTGCGATTCTGAATAATGAGAATAGAGTAAAGTGAAGCCATATGAGATTATTTTAAACAACGTTGTGAAAGCAAAACAAACCGAACAATAACAACAACATCTTGATGACTATACGATTTCACATCTTCACATGGTCGTACATCTGACATTGTTCACCAATGCGGCTAAGATTGTGAGAAAAACAACCTCGAAATATTAAAGAAAAACGTGATGAAGGAAAATCTATTTTTTTTTACAATTTTATATATCAGGAATGTTATGCGTACTGCGGTAAGATTAGAATCTGAATCATTACCTTGTATTTGAAAGTTTTAATAGAATAAAAGTGGTAAAAATGAAAATGATAATACAAACAATTTCCTGAGTAGTCAGTCAAAACACCCACTCTCGAAATACCGGAAATAAATCACATAAAAACCCCAAAAAGGGAAAAATTTTAATTACTATGAAATCAAAGAGGAAAGTGCGGTCACAAAATGTCCAGATTAGATATTGAAACAATTTGTAATTTAATTCATACATTGAAGAGCAAATGTTTTCATTTTGTATATAAGTTATTACGTAGCTATGATTGAAGAAAATAGAAAACTCTTTAAGAACCTTTTGATACTTTGAAATATAATATAATAATGTAACATAATATAAGCATTCCCATTAGATTCGGATTCGTCGTCAAAAGAAAATCAGAGAATAAAAATCTTGCAACAGAACAATCAAACCATTAATCATATTAAATGTATTGGTAGAATGATGTATTTGAATTAAATATATTTATTTGTCACGATTGTTACTTCCTTCTTTTTAAAGTACTATCGCTTTCGATTATTACAGCAGGAAATGAATAGCGAAATGCACGTCAGAGCCAGGAACGGGTCTATTATTATGTAGGGGAGGGGGGGGGGGGGGGGGGGGGGTTATGGGCTCACGCCCCCAATTTATTTAAGCCTTCCCATCTTTTCTTGATTATAATTGATTTGAAGCCCCCCCCCCCTCCAAGTAATCTAGAACCATGAGAGCTCGGGGTTTATAATCGTATCAAAACCGATCTATGCTAATTAAATATTTATTAATGACTTGCAAGATTGAAATTAATTACCATATTTATCCAACGCACTTAAACTAACGCCCTCACTAATGAGGATAAATGGATATGATCAGAGGCGTAGCGTGGGGTCGAGCAGTTGAGGGTAATCGGCATTACGGGGCCGGGGCAGTCTTATTCCACGCACAATTATTTTTAAGAGAAATGTGTAGGGCATTGGTTATTGGGAGGATGTGGAAAGGGACCCTTTATCTTCCTTTTTTCCTTCCATTTTCCATTTGTGCCCCTCCCTTTCTATCTCATTTTGTTAAGTTTATTTTGTCTTTTTCGTTTAAAGGGGGGGGGGGTATGCCCCCAGACCGCCTGTATCTACTCCACTGGTTATGAATTACCTAATGAAACTGATAATAATTATTGTTTGAAGTTTTGGAACATGAACATGTGACTGTAATTTCATTCTGGATCGTATATCCTTAAGTAGATTGATTGTTTAACCAAGTAAAATAATATCAACCTCACAAAAGCTAGCTGGAAAACATCTTCAATAAAAACCACAACTCTCATTGGCACATATACCTGTGTTAAGCACATGGTGTCGGGCCTACTTACCTTTATTTCCTTATCTTTCTATGCCTATTACTAAGCCCCTATGCATTTACTACCAAAATCGTTTAACACAGGTTATTTACTTGTAGTCTTGAACATTTAGTGTAGTTGCTGTTGTATCCTGTGAGAATATGTTTTCTATCAATACCAGAACTGAAGCGTATCTTTAACTGGTTAAACAACTTAGTTGTTTTTTTTTTTTTTTTTTAGGTCTGATCATAATGCAATATATTACGTTTCCTCTCTGAGTTACAGCGAAAGTGAAGGTAGACCGAGAGTTTAACATCAGGGGACAACGATAAGAGATAGCAACTATAACCACCAACAAACGAGCAAACAAAACTAAATAAAGCAACAAATCACAGTCCAACGAAAAGGAAATACATCCACTCACTGATTTCATCCTCTCGCAATTGATCATGTTGATGGTAACATCAATAACATTTTTCATAATGCATTTCAAAGGCACTTAAAAAAACAAGGAAATTGGAATTTCAGCAAATTAATAATAATAATAGATTGTAATCAGCTATTATTGGTGTCTTCATTGTCAGGAACGATTTTATTTAGTTCACGGCACAGACACTACTAACAATTTTTAATTTTAAGTGACAATGCTATTCCAAAGAGAAACTTCTTACCGGTAGAACACGAAGGCGAAGGTGCAGACGGTGGCGATGAAGAGCAGAGTCTTGAAGAAGTCAACGCAGCTGAAGTTCCCCGACTCGCTTTTCGCTTTCGATCTCAGCATCGCCAGGCGTTGGACGTCGCTCATCTTCATTGGTTTATGGTTTTCGCTGACGTCGACGTGGCAATGGACGTCGGGATGGAGGAGCTGCTTATCATTCGACATGGTGATCGACATGGTCTCAAGAAGAAAGTTCGGTTAAAATGAAGTAAAGCTTAGATGACGCTCAAGGATGACTTTATAGATGCAATATTTCAGAAGTATGATCTTTCCCTCCCTTTCTTCCTCTCTGATAAATAACTGATTTAGATTTTAGCGCAAATGGTGAAGAAAATCAAAGACAAATGTTCATATATTATCAAGGAGCAGTAGACAAATATATCTCTTTCAAAAATACTTTTGTGTCAGATAGCTGGCGGTCACGACTGAAAATGATGTGAGCTGAGGAGTGGTATCCTTTTTATAGCGCTTGCTGGAGAAATATGACCTCGAGTCGAAAGAGAACTTGTGTAATATCGACGAATGGGAGAGGTGAAACTGATGTCAATTGCAAATTTTGTTTGGGGGGAATCCCCGAGATCGTAATGCGCACGTGCAGACAGACGATCAGTGAAAGTGAAGATTTACCAGCTAGTCTATAATATACAGACTCCTTTTAAAATTATCCTCTCATAGTTGGCAAGGTGTTGCCAGAGCTTGTTTCAACGTGCGGTCTATATAACACTCTAACAACTGAAATGTTAAATCACCATTTAAAAGGGCCGAGGAGTGACCACTCTTTCAAAATGGTAGATTAACACTTTGAACGTGCTGGATCCAACACTATAAAGGTTAAATCTAGCAGGTTGAAAGAAACAATCTGATATTTTGAAAGAGTGGTCACTCCTCGGCCCTTTTAAATTGATATCTAACATTTCAGTTTTTAGAGTGTAGCTGTTGGTCAATATTTGAAATAACAATACAGTTTCTCAAATTTACTTGCTGTTAGAAAAATGATGATTGAAAATAGAATATAGCTGAAAATAAAAAGTGTTGAAATAGGATTAAACAATTTTTCTTCTTCAAATAAAGTCTTCATCCAATTCTTCTCAAAGATAAAACTATAGGCCCTACAACTTATAAGCAAATGTATAACATGGTGGATTTGGGTGCAAGTAATTTATTGCAAGAATGCGAAAAGACCCATATTAATTTTGAAATGTCTCGTTGCATTGGTTAAACAGAGTCAGCTTTATAGGCTAGTGTCTTGGCAAAATTTTACTTTATTTTTTCTACAAATCTAACATGTATGCACAGCTATAGTATTATTAAAAACTGTCTGTGATAAAAGACTACTCCCACCTTTTCAACTTCACAAGCTTTGCTGACGTCCATCGGCAAATGGCGAATGAAACTCGCAATCTCACCGGCTGTTATTTATCTCACGCCCAATATTTGCTAATTTTGCAAACCCTGGCATATCACTGCGCCAAAACCATCGATTGAACCAGGGCCTATACGAATAAATATCGTCATGAAACAAAGATGACGTCACATATAAGACATTGCTGACGGTAGAGCAATCGTCAAGATACTACCTCTTTATTTTTGTAATCATTATCAAGTATTTTTACATCATTTTTGTAAAATTGTAATAAAGCGGCCTGCCTTATATAGATACTGTTAGATTGATATACAATCACCATCGAAAGTATCATTGTGTTAAACGAACGCAAGACAGTGTTAAATATTGCTTACGGGTTGGGAAACTAAGGTGGGGGGGGGGGGTGTAGGTTTTTCATAATTGATGATGATTATACGAGGAAGTTGAACAAGAGGTTAGGGGAACATCTGAAATGAGGTATTCTCCTCGTCACACGTTCTGTCTTTCTTCATTCCCCCTTTCCTTTCTCCCGTCTCTGCTCCTCTGTCTCTCAGGCTCAATAATTTATGAGCGTGTGTCTTACCCCCGCCCCCTCCTCTAGTTTGGACATATTCCACAGGAAGGAGTATAGCCCCCTAGCCCCCCATAGCTATGTAACTGCCCTGTGTTATGATTATCTTGGTTGTTTTAACCACAGAGAATGAGAGAGGGAGAGAGAGAGAGAGAGAGAGAGAGAGAGAGAGAGTAAGGATGAAACACAAAGAAACACACACCTACACACCCACCAGCACAAGCAAGCACTCAAACAGACAACCCCCCATATTGTCATGCCGCCTTGTTATTAAATCTATATCAATCAAGTAACTCGAGTATATGAAACAACTGTAGCTATTAATACAAAAATGGGTAATTGCGAATTGATAAACACGCCAATCGGAGGCGTAGCGTTTGTCCAGACATTAAGGGGCACCGGCATCGTGTGGGGGGGGGGGGGGGGTATATTTTTTGATAGAATGCAAGTCAACGAGGCTTGTGATTAGGGAAGGGTTAAGGAAGGGGTCTTGGTATCTTCTTTTCCGAATCATTTAACCTCTACCCCCCTCTCTCTCTTTCCTATCTCGTCTTTTTCTTTTATTTCCTGACCCGTTTTACTTCTTTCCTTTCCTTTCCATTTATTGCTTTTATTTCATTGCTTTTTCCTTTCCTTTTTTCTTTCATTTCCATTTCTTTACTTTCATTGTCTTTGTACTTCTTTCCTTTCCATTCCCTTCCTTACTCTTTTTACCGCCATCGATGGAGGGGGGGGGGGGGTGGTATCTTCTCCGTTCCCCCGCAGTAACGCCACATAGAAAGGAGTGAGAGGAAAGATTATCTGCCGTATATAAACTCAACAAACAGAACATGGACACCCTTTATTGTTAAAGAAAATCATAAAAAGCAATCATTATAAAACCTTCATATCATTAAAGGAAAAACAATACTCTACCATCATCAATTAAGATGAAGTTATTAACTTTCACTCTTGGATGGGTACTTTCATTTATCTGTTAGAAGGTCTGATTAAGAAAATGGCAAAAATAGAGCAAGTAGTCATTCAAATTTTTATGAACATGTGCAGTGTGCACTGTATTTCATCGATCTATATATTTATTTATTTGTCGTTTTATTTTGACAGGGTAGCCCTTTTAGTTATAAAAAACTGCTCGACCAAGGGGACCTGTATTAACATAATAAAAAACATATTTACAAAACATATAAACATACATAAGTTATAATGAGCACATTAACTGGACAATAACATTATAACGTTGAAATGAGAAATGAGGGGAAAATGTGAGGAAAAGGAATTGCAGTGTTTTTTTTTAATGAATCCAGTGAGTTTAATGATATGATATGTTTTCAAACATGAAAACACAAAATGAGAAACAATGAGGAGGATTGGGCTCTGGATGTCAACTGTAGTCTCGGGGACTGCATGGTTTTGACAAATAAGGTAATGATGCCTCTTCTTGCGTTATTCTCGTAATTGTTTTTTTCTTCCCATTGTTTTAATTTGTCTCTATGGCAATGATCATCAACATTTGAATTGCAAGATGCCCCATTTTTGCAATTTTCTTTCAGAGAATCATTTATTGTTAAATGGCTATGCTCATGCATTCATGCATAAGAGGTACGAATCCAGTTGCATATCATCTCAAAGAGAATTAATATGATTTGATTTGATTTGATTTATTTATTTCTGTTTGATTTTCTTTTTCTTTTGCATTTGTATAAATATATAACAAACAAACCATTGCAAATTTTACACATTTCAAAAGAATATAATGTCGAATAAAGTAAGGCTGGCTGTAACTAATCTTAATCGTGAAAAGTGTCCACTTTCTCTTTTTTGCTGAGCTGTAGTTTCATCACTTTCACCGCGGGAAGCGGGGAAGCCCCAGCGTCGGCGTAACGCACTAACGTCTGTGACCTTTCTGATGACGTATTTTGATCCCGGGGATTCCCCCTGAAATGCAGACCACTTTCTCGTGCTATACTATTACACATCTGAAATGTCAGGGCAGGTACTGAATCAACAGTACCTCTATATGGAAATGTTTCTTTTTAATTTATGTATGCATAATGTATTAGATGAACGTAACACATGCCTTGTCGATTGCTCAAAAAGATTCTCTGCATAGAATGTATGTTTTTTTTTAAAAATACAGATAATCACGTTCATTTGTGAAGCACCCTTTCCTGAGATACGAAGCACATTTAATAGAAGAAAAAATGAAAAGAAAAATCATGTAACGTACCATGAACGAAGGTACGAGCCATGTTATAGTTGCAGTCTGAGCATGAGCAGATACAGGTAATTGTAGACCAAATTGTGAAATACACGGAGACACAATACTGGATACGTGCTCATGAAAGTTATGTAATCATTATCCATTCATGCATAAGCAGTGCACTCCATGATACACAGGTGGAAGTATTCTTTGAAAAGGGGGAAACAAAGGCTATTTATGTAGCACCTCCACCGCTGTAGGAGTCATTATTCAAATGTACAAAGTGGGACCTCTTCATGTTTTACAGATCTTTGGATATTCTGGGTCATTTGGGACATGTTCTAACCGTGAACTGGTCTATTTGGGAAAGCATTTCCTCTGACAAAAAATAGAAAAAGTGATGCATAAACAAAACAGTTATATCTTATTGACATTGCGGTCATTTCAAAAGTTATTATTTCAACTTTCAGCTTCACTCTCAAAATGTCTTTTTTTTCAAGAGTATAGGCCTATATGTTTATTCGTCTGTTTTTAACAAGGGCTCCAAACGATTTGACATTAATGACATAATGCTCTTTCACATAATCAGTCGTAGTTTACTTTACTCGTATGTTATCAAAACTATCAGGTCGTGAAGGGGTGGCAGGTGATGGAAGAGGAGGGGACATGAGGGGCGAGTTTAAATATAGATCTGTGAAGGAAGGCTTATCACTTAACCTTTCAACAAATGAACTGTTCACCGTGGAAAAACCCAGCTCCTTGCGAAGCTATGCTGATGATGGAGAGTGAAATGCCTCACCCTCTATTCCTGGGGAAAACCCACCTACGTTCTCCTTCTCCTCCTTCTTCCTCTTTTTTGTTGTTGTCATCATCACAATCTTCTTCTGAAGCTACTATACGGTCGTGATGGAGAGAGACTAAGCATACATACCTATGTTAACCTTCTTCTTCTTCCTCACTTTTTTCTTGTTCATCACCATCGTCATCATCATCACCACCACTTTTTCCTTTTTCTTCTTCCTCTTCTCTTTCTACTCCTCCTTCCTATTCTTCTTCTTCATTCCCTCCTCCTTCTTCTCCTTCTTCCTCTTCTATTCCATCTTCTTCCGCTCCTCCTTCCTCTATAATTCTTCTTCTTCTCTTTATTCATCATCATCTTCTTCTTCTTCTTCTCTTTCTTCTCCTCCTTCTTCTTCTTCTTCTCCTCCTTCTCCTTATTCATCATCACCTTCTTCTTCTTATGCTTCTTCTTCTTTTTCTTCTTCTCCTTTTTCTTCTTCTTCTTCTTCTTCTTATTCTCCCCACTCTTCTTCTTCTTTACCTCCTCCTTCTTCTTCTTCTACTCCTTCTTCTTATGTGGACGTATTACTGGGAATACCCAAGGTTATGCACCAACTATATATAAATGGAGCGACTTTAACTGATGCTGCGAAAATCGCTCATCCAACATTGCTCCGCCTACAATTTCTGCAGTCTTCGTTTAGTCAATGAATTGGTGTTAGAGTTGTCATTGGTTATCAGGTTAGGTTTAAGGTTAGCATTAGGATTAAGGGCAGGGTTGACGTAAGGAATTCGATTAGTGTAAATTATTGACCGCAGAGCAACTGTCGCCAGAGAATGGGTTGCACTATCTTTTTAAAACTTTTTTTTTTTTAAATCAACGGCCCTTTACAAAAGTTTCGACAACTTATTTTCGTTTACGTTTCCTTTACACTAGCCTATTACGCAACATTTCTATTCAAGTGCGATATGCATCTGTATAGAGAAAGTATTTGGGGACATTTTTATATTCTCATGAAACGTTTGTTGGATAAGATATAACAAATCTATATCAAACGTTTGCTGGTTGAAATTTTATCCAACAATTATTAAAATTGGGTATTTTTTCTTCTTCAGAGTTTAAACAGTGGATTTCCCGGCAATGGGAAGTTGCTCAGAGAGGCTTCTGTAGATTGACGCCAAATGTTCAAATGGAAATCTCGAAATATCAGCAGTGTTTCCGGTGTCCAATCCCTGTAAGAGGAAACCTATTGCAAAATAACCAAGATAACTCGAGCCGTACTTGATCTACAATCGCAGTTATGGAAGCCTATTCATAGATTTCTGCTTCTGAAACACGATCGAAAAAGATTTTCGAAAAATCAACTGAAATCTATTTCAACCAACCAACCGACTAACCAACCAACTAACCAACCAACCAACCAACCAACCAACCAACCAACCAACCAACCAACCATTAGGAAACCAACGCGAATAATCAACCAAAACGTTCACACATCAAGTTTAGGTCAAATAATCAGCGTTTAGGATTGGACATTTTGCATTCCCATTACATGGAATTACTTGGGAATTTTCCCATCGGAAATGTGCCAACTTCTGGAACTAAACGTATTCTGTTTTTTCACATCACATTATTTCTAAGTAAAATGATATGATTAAATATACAATGACATTTCCAAAACCTTTATTTTACTTTCATTATCTCGCATTTCAGGATACACATAATATTATCGAAAGCAAGAAAAGGCGTGTTGAATTTCAACTTTCCCAACTTTTGCCACATCCTTCGAAAAGCAATTCCACATCATGAACAAATAGAAAATGAAAATATCAAATTTCAGAAATTAAGAACAATTAGTCCTTAACACAGTTAGATGTACAAATATTTCGTTTTTAATAATAATAGCCAACATTATCCGTAACATGTCATCAGCTTTATAGCCCGACTTAGCCAGTGAAAAACGAAGTTCAAACATAATACTGATACAAATTTATCATACAGAATCGTAAACAAACCATCACAATAGAGGACAAATGAAAACAACTTTTCGCAAAAATTTGTATATCAATTACATTTATTTTTATATAAAATCATGATGTCAATTTCATATAAACACTATTAATATCGCGATCGTGAGGAGTGTGAAATATCTAATACAGAATCATAATCAAATCGTAACAATAGAGGACAAAATGAATACATCTTTTTGCAGAATTTTGTATATCAATAACATATAGTACAATAATGTAAACATATGCAGATGATTCGAATACAAAATGTTGACCACGATATGAACGATAAAATAAGATGTAAAAACAGAACTGAAGAAACAGAACTTCTTTCAAAACAGCATTACAATTCAAAAGTGTTTTGAATGCCAACGTTTATGAGCATTACAAACAAATAGTTGTATATCTGTCACCAACAGAAAAATAGAATATCTGTACATTCACTGTTCGACTGAAAGACTTTTAATGACTGAAAGACAATGTTCAATATGAACACGGAAATGAATCACATTATTCATAGATATTGAAAAAAGTACAGATTATAATACAAGATATTAGTGAAAGGCCTTTTACTCTTTCCTCTATATAAACAGTGCGTCCCAGATAAAACGAAACCGAGAATTATCGATGTTTATCATAACTTAATCACAATTATAATTGATTAATGACACATATTTGGAAAGCTTAGATCCTCCTCTTTCATTTGATGCAACTCATTATGATGCATAATTATGTCACGCATGAGTGATTAAAATCAATTTGAAGAGAGGAAATCGAAAAGTCGTTTGGCGGGCGGTATCTGAATTTCAAAGAGAAAATCATATGTCTAGAAAGTTGAGTTTCTGCCCTTTCATATGACACCTCAATCAGGAAAAATGAGAACGGAATGACAAAGATCTGTTTGTTTAAAGTAGCCCTTACATTTTCATAATTTTAGCAAACAAATTAGTTTTCACTGGCTGCCTGTCGTAGCAAAAAAGCAGAATTGACAAAAGACTTAACTCCGTTTCGTTGACAATCAGCCATGAACAAGAACATTTTACAAGGCTTTGACACTGCTTAACACTGCTTTGAAACATCTGTTGGAAAGTGTTGCTATTGCACTAATTTATTGTTGAGTTGGTTTTGAAGCAACGAATAGACAAATATATACAAATAAGTTACATGCCTTTATAAACATATCATAGAAGAAGGTTCAATTTTTAAATGTTAAATAAAAAAATAAATATTTCACTTGAATTTGGTATTGTATTATTTTAAATAGGCGTAAGGAATGGGGAGGGGGGGGGGGGGTGGCTTCACCCTCTACTAATTTGGAAACTACCAGTATCGAACAACCGTTATTTGATATTTGGGAAGTGGGGTGGGCTCTTTGTAATTTTATTATCAAATGTACTGGATATATCATTATCCAGATTTCACCTAAAATCTAGGAAAGGATACATTGTATAGCGAAAGCGAATTTTACTACAATAACTGGAATTTTCGCTCACTCCCAAAAGAAAAAAATAAATAAAAGGAAAGTTAAAATTTGTGCTTGCGACTTAAAGACAGGGTATTCTACTGACACTACTTGATAGTTATGTATACTGCCATCTGCTACTCGCAACGCCCCAATGCGTCGATAGCCATGTCCCACAATGCACCACCAACGGCATGACGCGTGCGTCGTGATGCTAGTGTGCAGGCATAAACCAGTTCCCTCCATTTTGCATAGTAGACAAAAGTGTCTGTACTTTCAGACAAGGCTGACAGCATACTGAATAATTATGCTCTGAACTTATGCTGCTCGGGACAAGGAAACAACCAGCAGGAACTTGGCCTGTCTTCACTCAATACACAAGAGTTGTTGTAATAAAGTGGTGTGATAAAGTGCAAATGCAGGATCCGTCCTCGCAGACTATGATGATGCTTAAAGATAAAGTTGAGTTCTGGTTATCCAATTGCATTGTGAAAGAAACGATGTGGAATCCATTAGAAAAACAGGATCATGTAGCATAACAGTATTGCTGTGTAGGCCTACTGCAAGGTTCTGGAGTCATACAAAATTAATGATAAGACATTTGGTCCAGTCTTGGTAAAGTAACAAGCACTGTACACAGAAAAATGTATATGACAAACATGTAGCGTAAAAATCGGGCCTCATTTTTAAGCTGTTAGTTGTCATATTTAGAATATGAAGGCATTTGAAGAGCCATACCTTTTAGGCAGGCACGTAGCCAGAGTTTGATGTTAGGGGGGGGGGGGGGGCACATACACGTAATCGATCGAGGTAAAAAAAAGGGGTCTAAAAAAGTTCAACCGATCTTGGAATTATTTTTTTTTTTTTGGGGGGGGGGCACGTGCCCCCCCCCCCACCTTGGCTACGTGCCTGCTTTTAGGGAACATGTTTTCTCTGATGTTCTTCCACACTTGCTTAATTAACAACGATAACGCTCACAAATTATTTTTCATCTCTCCCCAGAACTCGAATGGAAATCACTCCACGTACTCCTTCACCGAAAGATGGCGCAATTGAAAAAAATACTTTACAGCGGTGGTAGAGATGTCGGTAAAATACCCAGACTTTAATTTCCCTCCCCCAGGACAAAACCAAGCTACTGTTTGATTGTAGGTTGACAATGCCATAAATTTCACCGAAATCGGACCTTCACGAATGCAATGTTATATTCTCCCTGAATGTTTTTTTGAGGAAGACTGTGCTGGAATCGTGTAGGCCTATTTAATTTTTTTTTTTACAATAGCATGGTGCCAAAATGCAGATATGCCTGTAAACAATACATTGGTACACCATAAATGTATGCTGCTTATCATCAATTTTACTGTGAGGCTACATTAACAATACCTTTCCCTTAAAATATTTCATGATGAAGGCACTTGTTAGAATCGTAAGCTAAACATTAACAATAGTCTCCGTGCAAAACATCCAGATATAGCTATATACATTAACATTCATATAGCACACCGTGTCTGCTCATTATGCGATTCCATCCTGACTTAAAGTTCTTATAGTTTCCTAGTCTTTAGATGTCACTCACCTACATGCTAGTCGCTTCAGCTAAAATTTTAGTGGACCCTAAGACGCTACAAATCTTTAGTAAGGCTTCTAATCTGTGATCACAGTTGCAACATTCTAGACTTACCACTTACTAGGTAAGAACTTGTGTCAATCTCTCTCATATCATTCAATATTGAGGTTTCCCCCTCCCCCTCATCCGAACAAACCAGTCTAGTCCCTGGCAAAACCACAGACTTTACGATTTAGTTTCAAAGAATGGGCAACAAGGCGATCTAAAATTGGCAGTGGCCCAATTATACCTTCCAGACTACATAACGTCAACCTACAACATGACACTCGTAGACAAACTCAAGGTGAAAATCTAGGAAAGGATTGTAACACGTAAACAGTTTCACCTTTTGTCTTGAAAATTCGTAACGTCTGACAACCAATATCATCTACATTTCGAAACCCCTCAGACCATGGACCTACTTCGAAATCTCAGATTCAATAGCGAGTAGCTTATCGTCATGCAACTTCTAAATTAAGCCATGTCGGCGACTTCTCATTTTAAAACCTACATTCAACTACCGCGATTGCACTGAGTACATACAAAGATTCGTGTTTAGCACTAATGTGTGTCCAAGTTTGCAACCTTCTCGGTGAAAAACAGCGGCAGCGATCATGGTCCTTTTCTTTACAACAGTTCCAACACCTGTTCGACAGTTTATTGTTTACTTCAATCAGTTGTTGTTTACCTTGGACCGAAGTACAAAACATGGAGACAGCCTACCGCTTAATCTTCCTTTACAAGAAAGTTCGAAAGAAGAGACACAAATTCGGTCTGTTTTTCAGGATTGTAGGACATGGTTGTCTCACTAACGTTGTATACCTTCCTTGGCTTTGCCAGACATTGTGTGAGACGCGTGGTCTAAAAAAATGATCAGCATCTATAGCACCACAACGCTCCAACACGTACCACAAAGCTTCAACATGTACCACAGGACTTCATCAGGCACCTCAGGGCTTCATGAGGTACCACAAGGCGTCAACGGGTACCACAAGGCATCAACGGGTACCACAAGGCTTCAACAGGTACCACGAAGCTTCAACAGGTACCACAAGGCTTCAAAATGCATCACGAAGCTTAACCCGTACCACACACGCAATAGCAGTAAAGATATCGGTGCAATGGCTCTCGACTCGGGTTTCCTTCACAAGATATCATCCAAAGCCTGCTTGAAGCGGATGATCTCCCTCAGGGACTTGAGACCCAACTCGGTCTTGACCTCCTTGTAGAAGAACTCGGGCGCGTCGTTGGCGATCGTCTTCAGGCCCATGATACCCTCGCCATCGTAGCCCTGGAAACGATTCTTGAGCTCCGGGAGACCGTTCCGCGTCAACCACGAGTTCACTTCGTCGTTCGTCCAGCTTGCGACGTTCTTGGCAGCTTCCCGTCGTGACTGCCGCTTCGAGTCGTTACGTTTGAATTTGCTTTGCGCTACCACGGCGCCATCACCTGTGAAAGATACAGGAATGCATATTTAATGGGCAAAGAAATGATGTTTCTATTATGATCATTTTACGTCGTATTGGCTATGAAACTGTTAAATACATACAGTTCCACCTGTCTTTAATAACAAAACCACTCTCTCTGCCTCTCTTCTGCCTGTCTTTACAGATTTATCATCTCTCTTCAACTCGTTTGCTCTCAGAAATGTGTTTCCACTCTCCGATTCTTTCTTACAATTATCTCTCCTACGTCTACCTGACGATATACTCATCGTAACATTGTTTTATCTTTATACCAGCACTGTATAGACTTTGCCTTCCTTTTCTCCCTTGGTTTCTGGCACAAGCACACACAGTGACGAGTGCACACACCGTCTCTGTCAGTCTGGCTTTTCTCTGTTCATCTGTCTATACCTTTATTCACATCACAATCTCCCTATCTCTCTCTCTCTCTTTCTCCGCAAGCCCCTGACTCCTCCTCTGCCCATCCCTGTCATTTATCCCAAAATATGACAGATAATACTCAGTTAATTTCCTCTAGGGGATTGTAACAGCGATCAACTATGCTGAACTTACTGGAAGAAATGGACGGCAGTCTTGTCGACAATGACATCGTCGGCAGACGACCACGGCCGGCCAACTCCCTCTTTAGCCTGTCGACGTTGCTGATGACCTCGTCCATGGTCGACATCTGTATGTAAAACTTCGTTCCGATCATGATCCCGAGCCAGCCGTCGGGTTTGTAGTTCTGCTGCATCTGGAGGGGGACGATGGCCTTGTTGAGCTTGAAAGTGTACTCAGCCTCTGTAGGGCGAGATGATAATAATAATGAAACAAAAAGTTCAAGTATTGAAGAGATGATGTTGTGTCATGGTTTCAAGAGATTGGTTTACGTTAGATGCTATCTCGCAGTTACTGGGAATGGTCGATTTTGCGTAGCATAATTGTGTATTGTGAAGTTTTGAAGGCATACTTTGCCATTACCATCATCATCATCACCATCATCATCATCGCATAATGTCAATATCTCAAGGGATGGAAATTAATATCATGATCATCAGCACAACATTGATATTTTCGTCTCCTTCTTCTGTCTCTTCTTTCTCCTTATCCCGTCCTCCTCTTCCTTCTTCTTCTTCTTCTTCTTTTTATTCTTCATCTTGTAGCAAAATTAAACAACAAACAATAGTAAGATGATGTTTGAAGGTTTGCATGATGGTATGAATAATCACGGAAGAGGTTTACGGTACACCATGTGTAAAGTCCTCGAGGGACTGAGGAAAGTGGGTAGAAAATAGAAGTGAGATGGAAAGGCGAGAAAGTGGAGGTTGGAAGGAAGAGTATCTTTCGGAACGCATCCTCCGCTCAGCCAACATCCTCGTCAGACACCAATCCAACCACAAGCTTTACTCCACTCTTCACTCTCACAAGGACAAGCACCCATCCAACAAACAACCAGGCGTCTACAAGATTCCCTGCGATTGCGGCAAAGTCTACATTGGAGAAACCGGCCGCGATTTCGACACCCGACTAAAAGAACACAAGACCCACCACCGACGCAGCGACTGGGACAAGTCAGCCATCGTCAAGCACGCACAACAAGAGCTCCACCACATTCACTGGGATAAAAGTCACCTCATCACTCCCATCCGACATTGGCACACCCGAAGAGTCCGAGAAGCCATCGAGATCCACCAACACAACACCGTACCCCAAGACCCAGGCCTTCACATCAACAGTATCTGGCACCCAATCCTCCCTCACCATCCTACTTCCGACCAATCTTCAACCAACTCCACAACCAACACGCCAATCACCAACACTTCACCAATCCATCCATCCGTTAGCCCGGACACCACCTGCAACCACCCAACCACACCCACTCAATCAAGCACTACACGTTCTCAACTAGCCACTTCACCCACACAAGCACCGCCCACGCCCACACCTCGCTACAACCTACGCCAACGCCGAAACCGCCGACCAACACACACAGACCGACACCACTAATAGCCATCCTCACCGCCGATCGATACACCCACTCAACGACTGACACAACCCCCCCCCCCCCGCTACCCCGCCGACACCTACCACACGACGTCCGCATAGCCGCCGCCCACTCGTTTCCCGCCAATTCACACAACCGCGCGCCACCACCGACAGCTGCCTGCCAACCTGCCGAGCCCGCCGGCCCAGTGCTTTCCCCCAAGTCCGCATTCACGCCATAAGAACCGCCGCACGCCTAGCGAACACTCACTCCTGAAGACGGACAGTCAACCTGTCCGAAACGTCGAGTCTACTCTCCTGCTCCTGCTCTGCAACTCTACTCGTCTACTCAACTCTCCAACTCAATCCAGTCTTCTACTCAAACCTCTCATCCCTCCTACAACTTTCTGGTTTACAGTCCTTTTCAGGACTAGACTCACTTCCGAAAGATACTCTTCCTTCCAACCTCCACTTTCTCGCCTTTCCATCTCACTTCTATTTTCTACCCACTTTCCTCAGTCCCTCGAGGACTTTACACATGGTGTACCGTAAACCTCTTCCGTGATTATTCATACCATCATGCAAACCTTCAAACATCATCTGATTCAGCTCTACGGGGAGCCTACTCAACTCAGCGTCAGACAACTCCAGCGCGACCTAGTTAAGACAGCCAAGCTCACCAACCACCTAACCTTCCTCAAACGCTGCCGCGACTCCGACACCATCCCTCTAGGCCTTCAACTCAAATCCGCCGTTGACACCCCCAAAGCCCAGCGCATACTACACCAAGCCGGTATTGACCTTACCCGAGAACGCATCGTACACACACGCCACCAACTCCACGATCTCAACACCGCTACCTCTGCATCTCAGTCCAAGATCAACCAACAACTCAATCCTGATGACCTCAGCAAAGTACAGTCCTTCAACGACCACACCGCCCAACTCGCCTTTCAGACCACCAAACTCAAGCAAATTAGGAAGTTCGACCAATTACGTTCACGCAAGCGCATCTGCACCAACGACCCTCCAACGACCCAACCCATAAAGGACACAGTAGTCAACCTCAGTCAACACAGACTCTCCCAAGCCGAACACAAGGTTCTATCCCTAGGACTCAACTTCGCCGTAGCCCCCAAGAAGATACCATTCTCCAACATCGTGCAACAAGTAGAACCCAAGCTCCGTTTCCTATCCAAAGCTGCTGCTAACGACATCCGACTCAAAATTACCAACGCTCTCGCCGAAGCTAAGCCACCCAAACCCAACCTATCTAAAGAAGAACGATCCGCTATTCAAGACCTCCGCAAGAACCAATCCATCCACATCCTACAAGCAGACAAGGGAAACGCCACCGTCGTCATGGACCAAGATACATACGAAGATAAGATCTGCGACCTACTCAAAGATAAGGAAACCTACTCCAAACTCAAGAGGGACCCAACCCCGGCCAACGAAAGGAAGATCAACCAACAACTTTTAACCCTACACAGATCCGACATACTACCCAAGGCACTCTACTTTCAACTCAGATCCTCGTCAGCTAAGTCACCCATCCTCTTCGGACAGCCCAAGATTCATAAGCCGCTTATCCCTCTCCGCCCTATCATCTCTACCCGAGGATCATCCTGCTACAACACTGCACGTCATCTCGCCAATATTCTACAACCACTCGTAGGCCAATCCCAGCACCACGTCACGAACTCTAAGCACTTCATCGACATCCTCTCCAAAACCAAGATCCAGCCATCCGACACACTCGTCAGCTTCGATGTCACCTCTCTATTTACCAACGTTCCTGTAGACCAAGCATGCGACATCATCAAACAACGCCTCATCTCAGACCCAGACCTCGAATCTAGGACTAAACTCACACCTGACCAGATCCACGACCTCCTTCTCACCTGCCTCCACTCCAACTCTTTCAAGTGGCGCAGCAACTTCTATAAACAACTTCAAGGAGCAGCCATGGGATCTCCACTCTCACCAATCATCGCCAACATCTTCATGGAACACCTCGAGCACCAAGCACTCAAGTCCGCCGACAAGTCTCCTTCACTCTGGCTACGCTACGTCGACGACACTTTCGTCATCTGGCCACACAGCACACCAGACCTCCACCATTTCCTCGACCACATCAACAACCAACACCCCAGCATTAAGTTCACCATGGAGACCGAACACGACAACTCAATCCCTTTCCTAGACGTACTCATCACTAAGACACCATCAGGATTCCCCTCGCACCAAGTATACCGGAAACCAACCCACACAGACCGCTACCTCAACTTCCGATCTCACCACCACCCATCAGTCCACCAATCAGTCTCCAACTCACTCATCAGACGAGCCCACCAACTTAGTGATAAAGCACATCTCCAGCAAGAACTCAAGCACATCACACACGCACTTACTTCCATCAACCAATACCCAAGAAGGAAAATCAACACCCGAACTCCCTACCACAAGACCAGCACCACCGGAACCCAACCTGATACTAAGCCCACCGCCACCATCGTACTTCCCTACATCGGCAAGACATCACACCGACTACAACGCATCCTCCGCTCAGCCAACATCCTCGTCAGACACCAATCCAACCACAAGCTTTACTCCACTCTTCACTCTCACAAGGACAAGCACCCATCCAACAAACAACCAGGCGTCTACAAGATTCCCTGCGATTGCGGCAAAGTCTACATTGGAGAAACCGGCCGCGATTTCGACACCCGACTAAAAGAACACAAGACCCACCACCGACGCAGCGACTGGGACAAGTCAGCCATCGTCAAGCACGCACAACAAGAGCTCCACCACATTCACTGGGATAAAAGTCACCTCATCACTCCCATCCGACATTGGCACACCCGAAGAGTCCGAGAAGCCATCGAGATCCACCAACACAACACCGTACCCCAAGACCCAGGCCTTCACATCAACAGTATCTGGCACCCAATCCTCCCTCACCATCCTACTTCCGACCAATCTTCAACCAACTCCACAACCAACACGCCAATCACCAACACTTCACCAATCCATCCATCCGTTAGCCCGGACACCACCTGCAACCACCCAACCACACCCACTCAATCAAGCACTACACGTTCTCAACTAGCCACTTCACCCACACAAGCACCGCCCACGCCCACACCTCGCTACAACCTACGCCAACGCCGAAACCGCCGACCAACACACACAGACCGACACCACTAATAGCCATCCTCACCGCCGATCGATACACCCACTCAACGACTGACACAACCCCCCCCCCCCGCTACCCCGCCGACACCTACCACACGACGTCCGCATAGCCGCCGCCCACTCGTTTCCCGCCAATTCACACAACCGCGCGCCACCACCGACAGCTGCCTGCCAACCTGCCGAGCCCGCCGGCCCAGTGCTTTCCCCCAAGTCCGCATTCACGCCATAAGAACCGCCGCACGCCTAGCGAACACTCACTCCTGAAGACGGACAGTCAACCTGTCCGAAACGTCGAGTCTACTCTCCTGCTCCTGCTCTGCAACTCTACTCGTCTACTCAACTCTCCAACTCAATCCAGTCTTCTACTCAAACCTCTCATCCCTCCTACAACTTTCTGGTTTACAGTCCTTTTCAGGACTAGACTCACTTCCGAAAGATACTCTTCCTTCCAACCTCCACTTTCTCGCCTTTCCATCTCACTTCTATTTTCTACCCACTTTCCTCAGTCCCTCGAGGACTTTACACATGGTGTACCGTAAACCTCTTCCGTGAAACAATAGTAAAGCTAAAACGAAAACATAAACCGTCGCTGTTTTCACGAAGTGACGGTAGTAAAAAAAATTGCATTGACTTTGCGTTACGATTTTCCTCACTACCGTCACTTCGTGAAAACAAGGACGATTACTCATTTTCTTCTCAGTTTATATCTTACAAAGTGCTGAGCTGTCATAGGACAGTCAAATATACTTTCAGATTTTCGTTCCGAATACAGGAGAATCTTGTTCAGATATATGCCTATAGTATAGTCAATTTGATTTGGACCTTCTCATTATATACAATTAACACATGAATTATTCATACCCCTTGTTAATTTGATGTTTGTGTGTTCCTTGAAACTCAAGAATGATACTGGTTGAATTAGGGCCTTTTAGATGTACGCTTTAACATGTCACACTCTCAAGAAACGTCAATCAGGACTAATCAATTTTTCGCATACTCAAAAAAATTACAAAACTTAGTAAGGGTATGAACAATTCAGTTGTTTACTCTATCTAGTATCTTTTCAGTAGGCCTACCTGTTCTACATGCAGGGCTGTTCTTATATTTCTCCGAGAAGCAGATAAGTACGACCATTGCATTCTCCACAGCCGACGCCATAGCCTCTAGGGTGGACCCACCTAGAAACGAATAAAATATACTTTTTCGTAAGTCTTAGGATAAGTGAGCATGGGGATAGTAGAAAAACACGAGCAAAACATAAAACATTATGCAGCAAAAGTAGATGCACAAGTTCCACTGTTTGCTGCGTCACTTTTTGCGATTTTTCCATGCAATTTATCGTCTGATTTACAGGAAATAAACTCATGTACTTGTATAGAGGGATAAAGCTTATTGGGAAAACCAGATCCAGAAATTCATAAGAAATGAGAGAGATGGTGCCTTTTGAGTTTTGGAATTATCAGAAAGAGAAGTGAATTATTCGATCTAGCTTAAATCAAATAAGGTAAAATACACTGCACACAAATATCGTAAATGATATTTTGGAGTATGAGGCTGATTTCAAGAACAGTCTTTTCCACTTGGCATCGATACTACAAATAGTGTTTTACATATAAATAGAAAAGAAAGCTCACAAATTATTCATCGTCTGTTCACAAAATCGATATTATCTTTAAAGGGCAAGTCCACTCTAAAAATAATTTACTTTCAATAGAAGCAGAAAAAACAATCTAAAAAACTTTGAGCAAAATCGGATAACTAATAAGAGAGTTCATTAGTATTTTATACTTAAAAAAAAATTAACAACTTCCTTTTAGTTGTCCGATTCTACTCAAATTAGATTTGCTCCGTTTCTCTTGTTTTTTGGCATCTATTAAAAGCATTTAATTATTTTAATTAAAAGCATAATAATTATAGAAGACTTACGTCATATTGCAAAAGTATTAAAGTTTAATTCTGTACTAATTTACCCATTTGGTCGACATCCATCCAGACCTTGTATCCGTCAGCTTGTAAAAGTTCCTTGACCTTCAGGATTTGTTTCTGGACATCCCATTGGTAGCTGAGCATCACGTGATTAGTACTGATTTCTTCCTCCTCGTCATTATCATCATCATTCCCTACGTACATGCTATCATCGATGGTTTCAACGGCATAGCGGGCAATGTTGTCATCCTTCTCTCCGCGGGATTTTGACGGCGATGCTTCGCGGTCGTCGAGCTTGGGTTTGCGGGATGAGTCCTTCGACTGATGATAAAAGAAAAAAACAAACAAAACGATATTATTTCGATACAATTATGCGATTGTAATACTGAAAATATGACAAACATGTACGAGTGAAATAACTTTATTGATTTGTAATTCATCAATTACCGATGGAAAAAAATACTCATCATTTTATTTTCGATTCTGATGGCACTAAAATTAAAACTTATTCCTTCAGATGTAAGTCATGCAGAAATGAAAAAAAACAACTGTTGAGTAAAAAAACATATTGCACGTCCATCGGGAATAGTGTAATTGCAAACTAGTTGAAGTAATTACTTTCGTATCATAATGTGGCTGTTTCTTGATATGAGTTTGAATTTAACATATCGTTAATGCACATTTATCAGGTTTGACTCAAATTAATATGAAAAGGTCGTATCATTATGTAGCTAAATTTAATCTTTACTCGACTGTGCAGAGAGTCAACAATTTTCGCCAAAGCAAGAACCCCGTTTATTGTTGCAAGATCGATTACTTTTAAGCCCCACTGTACTACATATAGCTACTTGCGCCCTCTATATAGCAAACAATGCCTAGTCGGTGCCTGTCGGTCCCCCATGATCCCCTTTTTCTTATGTTAATTGAGAGCTGATTTGATGAGATAACCACCTGTCAGTGACCTTGCAGGGAGGTCTAAACCCCCATGGTCAAACTAGTACAGACGGGCTTTAAAGGTCCTACCTTCTTTGTGAGTGTAGCGTGTGTCTCCTCGCCTACATTCCACAGGACAGCAGTAGAAGATCGGGATAGTTGTTCTGTCATCTTACATTGACGGACAACTAAATAAAAAGAGAGGAACAACAGGGAAAATCGTAAGGAACTGAAACAGTGCTATCATAATTCCTATATCTGAAAACGAACTACAAGGTAGAAGCATTTGTCAGTTAGATGATTTCAGGATTATTAGTTTTCTTTTGTCCGAGTGCCTCGGGATTCGAAGCACAGATCTTGGAATGTATACGCCATTCACGCAACATAATATGCTCCAGGAACAATTGCTCCGCGGTCAACATCCTACAGTTATCAAATTCATAACTTTAACCACGGATCAAATAATATACCTAACCCCAACCTGAAACCTAACTTAAAACCAAATTGCAATCCTGACCCTCACTCTACATCGTTGACAAAATAAAATCCCGGATCAATTGTCGCCGAAACACCTGTCGCATCGCTATTCACATCTAATCTCAGTTTATGCACATTTCCCCAGGTTTTGTAATGTAAAAGATAAACAAAGTTGTTGATTTCCAGTTTACGCTTTAATGGCAGGAGACCTCTCGCCCTATGGGATTTGCTTATACTCGGAAACATGCTAACTCAGTGGATAAATAAGAGATATTGAAACTTGGAGGAAGACAAGGAATTAATTAAAAGCTCAACTATCAAAGCTCAAGGATAGGACATACAGCCGTAGGTTCCCTTTGTACCCATTTTGTACCTCCTTCCGCAGCAGTCTGCTAACATCAACTTCAATATTAACAACTGGGGCCCGTTTCACAAAGCCTCTTTTCAATGACAAAGGAAAAAAAATCAGTGACAAATCTGCTGATGACCAATCAGAAGCAAGGATTTCAGTAGCTTATAACAAAATCTGTCCTTTGTCACTGATGACAAGTTTTGTGAAATGGGGCCCTGTACTTACTTTCTAAGCATCCCTTTTCCTCCTGGATAGCCTTCTTATTTGTGGGGTGAAATGACAGGGTCCAGAGGGCATCCATGGCACTCTTCTGTTCCTCCATGGGGTTATCATTCTGCAGCATGGAGACGATGCGAGAAAGAGCTCCGGATGCGACAAATTTCACCTGTAGAGGAACAAAGATGATTTTTTATTCAATCATTCTTGAGCAAAACAAAACAATATATTTGAAAACAGTACATGTTGTGACATATCGGTATAAAACAAACATTGTTACATCAGTTGCACATGTCTCAATATTGATGAACAAAAATGATGTCCACTAATACAAGTTACCCCTTCAGTCGTGGCAGGAATGATTTAAGAATTACATTTTTACTTCATTAAGTTGGCAACTCACTGGTATGTATTATCTCTTTTACTTTACTCTTCAAATAAAAGGTCGTGTATCGTATCTACACAAATTGTACGTGGATAATGGTTAATGTCGAAGATTTCAAAATTGCTGGTTTATATCGAACGACAGACATTTTGAACCTTTCAAAATGTTGCCAATTTGTATGATCCTAGAGCACATTTCCCAGTTAATATTCCTTGTCTCAACTAAATGTTATGACTTTTAAAAATGAATACAGTGTGTTAGTTTTGGTTTCTCGACAGTTCTTCCCCAACCACCGCGTCGATGGGATTCATATGATCAACCAAGCTTTTCACAAAAATGGCAATGGACTTTCCAAACTAATGATTATACCTGATAAACGCTTCTAATTACTTGTACCCCATGCATGGCAGAATAGTCTTGTCTCTATGGCTTGACTGAATTAGTGTCCTTCCGACTTCATTGTTGTATTCTTCTTTTATTGTTTTACATTGTATATTATGTTCGTTTAAATGTTTACTTATATCATGTAGTAAATGTTCTGTATATATATCATGTTTTTATTGGGAATTCGGAGAATAAATCAATCAAATCAAATCAATTAGCTGAAAAGGAAAAAGTAAATGCTATTGTACCTTGTTGTCGTCATAAGCGGCGAGATATTTCATGGCATCGGCCACCTGACTGGCGGAGAAGTTGTAGTGTGCCGAATAATGGTTGGGTTCACTCAGAGCTTTGCTCAAGATCTTGATGATAAAGTCGATGTTTGTGTTGGTCGTATTCAGATGAGCGTTCTCGTCCTCCGTTACGATAAAAGCTAGGGTGAATATTGCCTAGAATGAAGCAGAAATCGGGATTAGGTTTTAGAACCAAATCAGACCTAGCAAATCCAAAACGTTCTCAAGACATTCACAAAAACGTCTTTATTCCAAACATTGATAGAATGTTTATGTACATCTAAAGAACATTCAGTGTTTCCTAGGGGAACTGTTTGGATGATGCATCAATAATTATTCCATTAATTTGATCCTGCTGGTGGCTTCTGTAAAAAGGGAGTAATTTGATGTCAGCTGAAAATTTGGCTTTTACTGTTAGGTTTGTTAGACCCCCATGAGAGGAAAGATAAATAAATAATGGAATTAATGTAAGGTTAAAAATCTAAACTTAATGGATACCTGATTGTGCCACCGTCAACAAATGTCGACGGCTAAATGCACCTCAAAAAATGTATAGCCCATTCTTTAAGTCTTTCAGAGTAAGGGTCCTCCCTATCCCCAAGCTAAAAATCCTGGATCCGCCAAAGTACACTCTTGAAATGAGTATCATAATTTATTTTTGGGGTCTCTCTGGATGTTATGCGCTTTTATCAATTTAAAATATGTTTTTCATACCTTCATTAATTCTAAGGTAACTTGAGATGATTCAGGAACGCATATCCAATGAATTCTAATACAAAATAGTGAGTAGGAGATACCAGTTGTAATAAGTTAAAATTATCAGGCGATAATGGCAACGAACGTATTGCAAAATGAACTCTGACTATTGAATCGAGAATGTCGGGCCAACCTCGGTGAATTGGCTTACCTTGACACGCAGGATGAGGAAGCGGCATTTCAGGTAGGGTTTGAGAAGCAGAGAAGCGTGGTGCTCACGAAATATTTCCTTGTTATCCATGTAATGTCTGAATGAAGAGATATTTATGATATCATTTATTAAAAGACTCAATCTGATTTTAAAATCTAATTTTAAAAGTGATGACAAAGTTAGGAGATTTACATGGCTCAGTTTACGACTTAAAAAGAGATTTCAAATTAATATTTTATTTTGACCTTTATTTTATTCCATTTCCAGGGACACAAATTAAAAATGAACATTCATTTTTAACTTCAAGAAACAGAAAGCCGTTAACAGAACACTGCCTTAGAAGATCTGGAAGGTTTAACATCAAGGCTACATCGTAGGCCCTGTACGGGACGGACGCCGTCCTAGTGGTTCTAGGAGAAGATTTATCTTCTGGAAGGGTTTAACCTCAAGGCTAGATCATAGGTCCTGTACTGCTCTGTAGTGATCCTAGATGAAGAAGGGTTATATTCTCACCTGATACAGTGGTAGAGGACGGTGAGGACTCTCTTGAGAAACTCCCTCCTCGACATCCACCTCAGCTTCTTGCTGTCCATGTTAAGTTCATCGACCTCGTAGAACTTGTCGTAGAGCACGAGCAGCAAGGCCTCGACGCACTCGGTGCCCATATCCCTGCATAGGTTGCTTCCGATCTCTGTGAAGCCCGACGTCGCATCCAGCAGCATGTTGATGGCAAGGTAGGTCGCTGGATTGGCAAGCTGAATGTAGGAATAGATGAATAGGTTATAAAAGGTTGAGGGAAACACAATAAATATGATATAATGAATATGAATATCATTTTATTTCCAAGAATAGGTTAACCAAATACTTCACTAGCTAATTAAACTCGAGAGTTGTGATCTATTGGATATTTTCAATGAAAAAGTTGTTCTGACATAGACTCTGGGATTCTTTTCGTCAAAGGTATTGTGTTAACTTTGCAACTAGGTTGGGTTAGTTTACCGTTACGGTTAAATCAAATATCAGGCATATAAACAAAACATAGACTTACGATAAAACCTACCTGATCATTGACGTTAACCTTGTGTAATGAATCCCAGATCTTCATGAAGAGCTTTGTGTAGCCGAGCTCAGTGACGAGCTCGACGTAGTCCTCCTGCCTGACGTCACTCATCTTACAGAGGACGAGAAGACAGTGGAGTTCCTCATTACCCGTGTACGATTCGGCCTCCTGCAGTTTGGCCATTGTATCCCGTATCGTTTGTTTTTGCTGCGATAGAGAAGAAAAAAAGAAAATGCATCTCTTAACCAATCTTAATGTTACTGTTAGCTTCATATGATAATGTCCTCTTTCTTCGTTTGTAAGTATTTATTGTTTATGCGCTTTGTATCTAATGATAAGGTGCTTTATAAATGTAACATTATTATCATTATTTTTATTATTATAGTCAGGTGGCGTATCCACTAGACCACGACACTGCTGTGATGAATGGATAACAAGTACAGTCAAACCTGCTTTAGTGACCACCTGTCTCCAAAGACCACCTGTCTCCAAAGACCACCTGTCTACAAAGACCACATTGTTTGTTCCCCTTGAAAATGGTTTCTCATTGAAACATGTACCAAAGGAATCCGTCTACGAAGACCACGTTTTAAGTTTCCCTTGGGCGGTCGCTATAGACAGGTTTGACTGTATGATGTTCACCATTTTCACCCACCTGTATCTTCATGTTATCGTCAGGCATGACAACCCGTTCGCCTCTGCTCCCGGTCTCGGTAGCCCACACCAGGTAATCGTTGAACACCTTGAATTTGGAATCGGTGAACTCCGACTCGTGATAGCTACCGGTCTGATGAAGAACGTTCAACTTTTTATTCCGATCCTCATCACTCTCTGCTGATCGGCTGCTAGCTGGCTGTCCCTGAAAACAGGAAAAGACAGAAGAAAACAGTTAGGTATAGCCTATCCGTAGCGTAATAGATATAATTCATACCATTAAGGAGCATATTTATTTGTGTCCAATTTTACAACTAGAAGAATCCGATGACCGGGGTAATGATATTTGTAAAGCGCTTAGAGACGGTATTCTGAATTAAGTGTAATATAAATCCAGATTATTATTATTATTATTAGAAGGAATAGCTGATGATTACCATTGTCATGAGGTATTCAGAAGTGGACCCCTCCGAAAGCGAGTCGTCTTTATCGCCATCGTCTTTGCCGGCATCGTCGTCCTTCTCCTTTGCCTCCTTCCCGATACCCCCGTCGACCGCGTCATAGATGTGCATGGGTTCCTCTTCCGTATCAGTGACGGCGGCACCGTCGACCCCTGGAACCGTCAGGCTCCAGGCCGTCGTCTCCACCTTTCTCCTGTCACTGGGATCCTTCTTGGGGATAGGTTTGACCTCTTCCTTCTGGGAAGAGTTCGTAGTCGTGGCAACCGCCTTACTCGTTCCGCTACCCATGTTGAGGTTGGTAGCTACTGTCCCTCAAGATGCGCCGATAGGTCCTTTGCTATTCAAAGTTGTATTACCTCTTTTCGTATGCTCCACTTGATTTAAGAGTCATTGCATTCTGGGCTCTGTTCATTCTTGGAAAAAAATATACTTGGACGGCCTTTGCTTGAGTTTTGCAAATGCTCCTTTCTGCGTGGGTAGTCGTATCTAAACTTGTACTCATTAAGATTCTGTAGACAAATAGAAAAAAATGAAAGAAATATAATCTTCTAAACATATTCAAATGAATATCCATGGCACTGGGGATGCAACAAACCGTAGCTTGTTAAATGAGGATATAGCATAATTGATACAATGTTTATGTACAGACAGACATCGTCATCGTCATTAGCCGCCTATATTTTATTTAATGTATATGTCTTGTATAGGCCTACGATGCAAGATTGGATCGACATCTCACATTATAAAGACTGCAAACTACATAAAGTACAAGTAAAATAAAACCTAAAGGCTAAGGATTATCAAATCCACTATACGTGCTATTGCTAAAAAAAAAAGGCTTTTCATATGTTTCCATGGTCATTTTAATCACATATAAACTTGCAAGATATTATAATATATAAGAGATGAGTTTTTGTTTTTTTCATTCTGTATTTTACACTCTAATTACTTTTCGTTATCCTCTATTTTGTGCGGATCTATTGACGTGGACAGATAGTATACGATGAATCGAAATTGCGCGTCGCTCGTTTCTATAGTGACTGACCTTTTCACTAGGCAGGCAACAAATAATTATAATAAATTGACTTGCATCATGCAAAAAAAAAACGTTAATCATTGGATGAATAGAGCTTCTGCTTGGCACAATCTCGACATGTTTAGCGGGTATCATCCTCAAGTACGAAAGTGCCATTCAGTGGCTTCACTGAAGGGGAAAGGTGCTTTGAATCAACACTGTGCGCGCTTGTATGTGCGTTTGAGCGTGAGTTTGTGTGTTAATTAGTGTGTTTCCTGAAAGGAATTTCTGCTCGGCTCCTCAATCTCGAAAATAAATAGGTGCAGTTGCAGAACTGTCATTTCGTGCCTTTTTCGTTTAAAAGAAAACGAAGGAGAAAGTGGCTTTGAATCAACACTGTGCGTGTGTGTGTGTGTGTGGGGGGGGGGGGGGGGTGCGTGTATGTGGCATTTTCACTGATTTTTATGTAGTGATTCCCAGTCAATATTCCTTTAATAGAAACCATCAATAAGTGAATAGAACTAAGGAAACTTAATTCAGAGAAACAGACACATTGTAGTAAATGTATAGAGCGAGAGAGCGCGGTAAAAAAATTAAGACGTGAGCAGAGAGAGAGAGAGAGAGGGAAAGAAAGAAAGAAAGGGAGGAAAGAGATCAATACATCGTACAAGAACGTAAACCTTCATAGAACACGTTCGCAAAGACTTTGGTAAAATTAACCTAAGTCAATCTCAACAGTCTTGTCCATCATCCTTTGAAATCTGAAAACATTACAATGGGGACTTTTAGATTCACACGAAGACAATAGGTCTATGCTACGATCGACGTCCTTTTAAAAAGCACTGCCTTGAATGGACGTTGCAGGTATCAGTCCACGCAAATCTAAAAGTCCCTAATGACACAATATGAAATCCGTACACAATTCATATGGTAAATACAACATGGTATAGCATGGGATTGCCCTTCATTTGATTTATCGATGTTACGTCCTCGCGATCGTGTTACAGATATGTCAATGTTTCACAGTAAAGACAGACATTTCCTTACAAATCTGAGTAATTGGTAAAATACTTCGCCAACCTATTTACAGACGGATGACGTTGCCCCTTTCTCGATGCAAAGGCAAAGAGAGCAGCTTTTGGGGGCAAAGTAAAAAGAAAAAAGGCCTCACTGAGTTAGATAGAAAATGGGGACATATGGCTGTTCAATAGCCAAGTTAAATTACAAATTCCGTCCTGCCAAAAATAAGAGTCTATTTGGGATGCAGGGGTTATTTTTATCTGATGTAGAGGAAGAGAGTCCTGTTTCATCTAGAGGGCAAGTTGTCAATCAAAAATCTAGTCATACTTGAACTTTGGATTTGATACTTCGGGCCTATTCATACTCCATACAACATGACCTATACATTTAACATATGGAAAGATGTTGTGGGTGTGGCTTCCTCCAGTATAGGACTCTCTACAGTCTACAATCATGACAAAGATACCAGCTGCTATTATGGGGACTTTCGCTCAGTATAGCTTGGAGGTGACATATATTATGAGCGATCAAGTACTTTTTATTAGTAAAGGAAGATGATTGATTATTTATCTATCTATTCTTCGAGGAACAAATGTGTGATTAGCTAACAAATCTAGCCATGTGACCTTGGGTGGGTGGGAAAAACTCTTATTTCGTTGTAAAATCAAACAAATATCATTTGCACTATCATTAAAAAAACATTAGAACAAAGAATTTTGTTAAAAAAAGAAACGATTTCTCATTGATCTGATCTGACGTTTGATGTTTGATGATTGTTTTACCTGACTGCCCGGAAAGCTTATGCTTGTAAGTAAGCAACCAGAGGACCGAAGGTTTTGAGTCGCCTTAGAGGGAATAACGATCTAAGAACAGGTACTCCTAAAACCATGTACAGGCCTACAATATAATCCCAACATAAAGCTCCTAAGTATCAAAGAGTAATGCTTTCATAGGGCTCATAAAGTGTTTGTCAACATATCACTAAATCAAGACGAATACCCATTTAACACCTGGGTGGAGTATGGCATCTGTAGATTTAAGTCTTGCCAAAGAACGTTATTGTTGGGCTAAGGTTTGAACCCTGTACCTACTACCTAGTGATCTAAAGTCCAGTGGCTTATCCACTAGACCACAACACATGTTAACCTAACTCTACATTTTTCACCAAAAAACAAAGCATGGGGCAGAATTAAAGCCTATCTGCACAAGTTTGGCCAAGAGGGGTTAGACTCTCCTGCATGGTCACAAACAGGTGGTTATCTTATCAAATCAGCTCTCAGTTAACATAAGAAAAAAGGGGAACATTAGGGACCAATGGTCACCGATTAGGCATTATTTGCTAGCTAGAGGGCGCAGGTAGATTCAAGTATAAGTGCAGACAGGATTTAAATTCACTGGCAAACTAGCTCTCTGTCTAGGCATGCATGTCATTTCCCTCTATCTATCCTCTGTCTCTTTGTCTCAGCAACAACTCTAGAGTAGGTCCATATTTTCAGTGTCTCCCCACATTGAATACTTCGCTGTGAAAGTGAGTCACGGTGTTTACCGTGAGTCAGCTAAGATGTGCGGATTGATCTGCAGAGTTCCGAGAGAAACCACAGTTTGATAGGGTGACTCGATCTCTCCGTCATGCGAACATTAATGTCGGTAATATTTGGGAGCTTATCTCATCTGCATCTCCAGCAAGTTGTTGAGTAGTGGTGTGATTTGGAGGACGAGGGGTGACGATGATTCCTGGCGAAGCTGGTCCATTCTTACCCCCTCCCTTCATCTTGTAAGAGAGGATAAGCATCTAGGCTCTTACAGGGTCGTCGTCACACAAGAACACTTTCATATAGGTGGGGTGGGGTGGGCATCAGAACAAAATTCGATAAGCTGCCAGTCTTTAGTGGGTTTGAGGTCTCGCGGGCTGTCGGTCTCATGAACTTTCAAAAAAGTTGTCAGAAGTACATGTACCAGGGAGAGACATTATTGGTCTTAAGAGCTGTCGATGTCACTGGCTGTCGATCCCGGGGGCTTTAGCTAAATTATGTACGGTATTAACTCAACCAATTTCCACAGTGAACATGGTCAATATGATTAATACATGAACATCATAGCTAAAAATTGCATTAGATACTTTCAACCCTTGCCACTAAAGACAGAAGGCCACAAAACACACACTGACATTTCGTCAGGGGATGCCTTTATAATTTGGTTGTGCGTCCTTCTTTTTGGCTATTTTGTTGCCGAATTATCCTTCTTGGCAGCCAATATGGCTGTTTCATGAATAACTTTTCACAAGTTTCCAGGATGGTCGGACGAATTCAATAAACTTCCAACGTCGCAGATCGTTGCATGTATATAATTATTAATAACACAATATAGTACAAACACACGAATGCACTAACCGAATACTTGTCTAAACTCACCTCTTAAAAGTTAAAACACAAAAATATTACCGAAGAATAACCTCAATACTACCAGGGGAATGGCAAGATCAGTTGCTTGTGTATGAGGCGTAAGCTTAATCAGTCCTTATTGATCATTTCTGCGGTAATCATACACTTAAAACAAGAAAAATTTTCATGGTGTGAATTCTTCGAGCTTCTTGTGTTCTTACTGAATTATACAGGTATATCTGCACTCAATGAATGAAACATCGACTGTTCGAATAGATGCAAAACACCCGAGGTAAATGGTCAAAAACGGTAATTACTAGCAGAGATTCTGCTGAAAGCAAACTGTCTAATCTGCAGCAGACCATAGCTATCACCCTGCGGGCAGGAAGATATCATTTTGTTGTGGATCCGTTAGGATTGTTTTGTCCTCACTGAGTACCTCTAGCTCTGCACTTGCAGAATAGCACATCAAGTATTCGGATAGGTAATATTCCTCATGTAAAGGATTAAGCAAGACATCTAATGGCGAAGATCCACTTCGCATCAAGAGTTTGACTGACAGCAGAATATGTTATAACCAGTGGCAAGGGATTGTTGCTCATCATTCAGGCTTGGTGAGTCCTAATTGAGCACTTCTGCACCTCATGAATCAAGCACCGGGTGTTCAGATGGAAAAGATAATCCATGGAAAGCGGACATGCTTTGCCGAGTGTGACATTCTATGCACGTGTCTGCATCTAGCATTCACCATGCCTTGTCAGGCCTTCTGTATCGTGCTGAATGATGGATATCCAGATTGCAGACATTCATCGAAAGTCTGGGGTGACTTTGGGGTGACTTTCAAAAATCGCGTGTTTAGATGGAAAAGTTGCTTTGCCGCGTGTAACATTCTTTGCACGTGGCTGTACCTTAATCACCGACCAGACCTATACAATGCCTTGTGTGATGTGCTGAATGATACAGCCTGAGATTGCAGACAGGCGTTTGTCACAATTCTGGCAAGTTTTGGGTAGTCTGGCAAAGTTTAGGTGACTATTCAGCCAAATCTATACACCCCATAATGACAAGGAAACGCAACTTACTCTTAAAAACTGGGAATTCCCTTGACTTTCCTCAATACACGCATCCGTGCTTACAATGTTCGTGAATAATTTGGGGGTGCATTTTCATGGAAGAACAGAGGCTGACACGGAAATGCCTACTTATATAAATAGGAAACTCGATCTAAACATTACAAGATGTTTTTTAAAGTACTAGTATTTTTGTATCAAGTTTGCTAATAATGTATTAAAGAATGAGCATTCCTGAACCTTCGAAAAAATCTACCTCAGACAATTTCAATAGCCTTACGCGTCACCTTCTAAAATTTGCGAACATGACACAGCAGTTTTACGTAATCTGAACATGGTTTCTACGGGACGTACAATAGGGTATTAAAATTGCCCATGAGTTGATTCTTTCGATAGAGGTTGAGAACGAGTTCCTTCGTATTTTGTTTGTTTTTGAGAATGACCTTTATAAGTAAAGTAAAAGTCCATATAGATTCTAAATAAGTACGGCTTTATCAATAATTTTGAAATCATACCTAGAGGAGTAATTTCAAAGACACTCCGAACAATTGTCTCCATGTACTCTCTGCCACTCTTAGGACTTAAATGTACTCCTTATAGATTTCTTAGTCTAAATGCTTGAGTGGACCCTTTAAAGGTACTATGTCCCTTTTGCAGCCAACCTCAAATTCTGTAGAACTTTGCAGGAATTATGAATATGTCATGTATGTCCTATCTGTGACATTTAAACGTTAGCAGTGTCCTCATATTCAAATTATGCAAGGAAACCCGTTTACTTGCTAGACTTCACTGTCAGACACTATTGAGTGACTGATTGGCTTTTTTTCTTCTTTGGTAATAACATACATGAAAAGAGTTGTAAAGGGTACATGAGCATTTGTCTACATCAATAACCCACTCCTTATGATGGCCAAGATTAAACTGATTGAATCTTTGCGCAGCATAAAACGTATGACCATTCGATACAATTGTCTGAAAATCAAGACTATTACTTTTGGGCTATATAGCCCTAAAGTCGATATGACAACTAATAGTCATTATTTTCCCACTTGAAGACATTTTCAAGCCCCACCTTTTTTAGGGAAGTTCTAAATAAGTATTATCTTTCAAATGCAGTTGGAATTTATCTTTTTCATTTTTTTGGCCTGCAAATGGGACATAGTACCTTTAAAGGTATGATTTTAATATTTTCTGGCTCATGATTTACCAATTCATTCTTTGTGAAGGCTGAAAGTTCACATGTCCTCTTTCATTATCCAATAAAAGCCAAGTTCCTATCCATTGTCATCTTTTCAGGGTAAGGTTGACGCAACGTTAAATACCTGATCCTCTGGAATAACCTGCTGCATGTCGCGAGGAAACCGCGAGGAAACCGCGCACTTCCCGCCGGTCAGATAATCCAGAGGTCCAATTATGTCCATTGTGTAGCCAACGACATGGTGAATACCGCGGGGAGACCGCACACTTCCCGCCCAATCAATATGGTTATTTGTGTTGCCATGTCAACAGGGCGGTGCTGTATCTCTATTATTATGGGAGAATTCTAATTTGATTACCGGTACAAGTATTTAAACTCTCTCAACTGCTGACATGAAGTGTATGGGATAAGTTTCAAGCTCATTGCTGTGTCATATCGAAGAAGATGAAGAAGAAGAAAAAGAAGAAGATGAAGAAAAAAGAAGAAGAAGAAGAAGAAGGAAAGGAGAAAAAGAAGAAAATGAAGATAAGAACGAAGGAAAAGAAGAAGAAGAAAATAAGAAGATGAAAGAAGGAGAAGAAGAAGAAGAAAGAAGAAGAAGAAGGAGAAGAGAGAGAGACACAATCATTAAGAATGTCTTTCTCTTTTTCTACATATTCTACACATTCAAAAAAAATAATTGGAAGGAATAGCGCGATAACTCATACCATTAAACTAAATCCTATGTTTTTGTACACGTTGTTGTACTGTGCTGCTTTAAAACGGAATGTCATAGACAAAAGCGAGCAAAGCAGTGATTGAAACCTGAAAAATCAATCCATGTTAAAAGAGAATTGGATTTAAATGCTCCGAGGCACTGTCAATGTTAAATAAAGGAGGCTACTTCAAGGGGCGAGGCTACGTGACGAAATCAATTTACGAAACTTTATGCTTTCAATCTTCCATAGGATTGCTTTCCATATTAATAATTGTTTTGATACGGTGAGATTAAGCGTGCTTTTATGATAGCCAGATGGACATTCTTAAAAAGATATTTACATTCAATGGGCTATTTAATATGCTTTTTACTCCAGGAGGTCACCAAATTAATGAAAAACATGAAAGTTTTCTTTCGGGGGCTTGGTGAAGGGTTGGGGTATCCCAGATGACTCAGCAGTGGGAGGACTCTCCCTGGGATTACGAATGAGTGTGCCATCACGAACAATCATTCGACAAGTTGAATATCATCATTCCACAATTCACCTTGACAGCCACCATTTATCTCCCCGTAGCCATAAGCGCCCCGGAAACGCTTCGTCACCCCCTCGAACTTAATGCCGACACCAGCCGAACAACGCCGAACAGCAAACGATCATGATATTTCTTTACAAAAAATTAGAACTTGGTATCCCTGTCAATATGGAACAGATCAAATACCGTCATTCCACAATTCGGTTTGACAGCCACCACTTATCTCTCCTTAACCATATAAGCGCCCCCGGAAACGGTTTTTCATCCCTTCGAATTTACATCGACACGAGCCGAAGATCGCCGAACCGCAAACGATAATGATATTTTCATCCGGATCTGGTATCTTTCGGCACGAGGCAGGTGGCCGAGGATCATCGATATGTTCTGCTTTGAGCCGTCAAGGAAGGACTGATGGTTGCCAATTTGATTCAACCAAATGACCACGCTTAATGTGATTTCTGTGAATCGTATCTCTCCCATATCAGACTGCAAAGTAGCGATTTAAAGCATGGAGCTATTCCGATCAAAGCATCTTGTTTTATAAAACCTTTTTCCTATATCACGACCAGAAGACGTCATCATATTAAATGCATTCAAATAATAGATACCCGGACGTATGAATGATAAAAAAGCCCTCATAGTAATGAAGAAAGTGGAGAAATGCAATTACATTATTGAAATTATATATCTAATGCAAATATCGTCGAGCATACGGATCATAATACACATTACATGGCGAACGGGCAAGAAGGTCGGCTGAAAAGAATATCCTGGAGCTGCCTTCCCTACAGTTTATAAAATAAACTTGCCCTATCTCTACCACTCTTTATATCCCCTCTTTCTCCTTCCTTCCTCTCTCTCCGCTCCCTCTATCTTCCCGTCTCTAACCCTCTCTCTTTCCCTTGCTTTACTCTTAATTGCTGTCATCATATCGATTCTCTTGCGTCACACATGTCAGATCTCTGTATGAGTCTTCATCAATTTCCACTTTTCATCTCTGCTTTGTCTCTGTAACTATACCCTTGATCAAAATCAATCTATTTTTCATCTTGCAGACGTCGGGCTGTATTTCGGCGTTCCCATTTTACTTTCCGAAGCGGTAGTTGTATCCTAATCGTTTTGTTAATCATACTTCAACAAACTAACCTACTTTCAATCAAAATGGTTGACATATCATCTGCACTAGACCTGATAATCCATTTAGATAATCGCATTCGAAGTAACTCAATCCTTTGATATGAGCTAATGACGCATAGCATCAACTTCTTCAATCATATAAAGCCTGTAGCACCTCGTAAATTGAAGGTGACTTCGGGTTATCTTTATGTTGATCATTTTTTAATAAATACTGGGTACGTATAGTCAAACATAAATTGTACAATGGTTCATGTAACAGTTTTGTGACTTTTTTCCTGATGAAAAGGAAAAACGATTCATTGAGTATAAAAGGTGATTAAGTTAAACATCGCGTTCGGATTAGCAATTTACTTGAAGGGTCCACAATTTGAGGTCAGTCACTGGTATTAGTGTTAGTCATACACAATGAATGTGAGTTATTAAAATAATCAGCATCTGTATAAGTTTTCCTTTAATACATAGAAATTGATGTTAATGCATAGCATAAAAGTCAAATCGAATACAAATGTTCCAAATACCTGCAAAATGAGATTTATAGATTGCATGATAATGACATCATCACCTTAGACGATTCTTCGTTTAATAATTTCACTGCAACACAAATCATGAACACTTGCATTAATTGAAGCCACCACCATTTACAATAGTAATTGTCAAATTTCACCGCAACGCCAGTCACGCCAATCAAAACTGCATATGTTACTTGAAGCATTGCGCGCATTCTCACATCTAAAACACGATGATTCAATTTCTATCATCATTCGAATTAACCTCATTATCTTATCTTCCTTTCAGTTTAAACTCTCATCAGGACATGGGCGAATCTTCAAATTAGTGGAATCTGGAAGCAGATGTCGGACGTTTCACAAGTACATCTGGAATATAGCAGTACTGAAGCAAGCTATAGTTCAATCTGCACACTTCTTGTCTCCCCTTTGGGATCTTAATTCGTTTAGAATAAAATACATGTCTTATCAGAGAACCCCACCCACTATGTTCCGTTTTGTCACAATAAATACCAAGTCTTGTTTTAATTTAAAATAATTAGCATGATGCTGAAGGTATCAACAATCGGTTGCACATAAGTGGGGCGGATGACTTGGGGGAT